TTTTTTTGTTATTATTTTTTTTTTTTTTTTTTTTTTTTTTTTTTGCGGTGAGTTTTCCTAAAAAGTCAGTTTTTCTTCCAAAAAATTACAGAGTATGAATAAAGTCATTTTAGATTTGAGTCCAATAAAGAATAAGGATTTACAAGTGTCCCTAATCTTGTTCTATATATTTGAACTTAGAAAAAGAGCAGGGAAGCCATTGGTTGGTGTGAATAATGGACTGAAAATGGAAGTTCTTAATTTTGATTAATTTAATAATAGTAAAAAAAAAGAGACCATATTTGTCATTGTTTGTCCTGTTAAAGAAAAAGTCTGTATCTTTGTCTGGTTGCTTGTTGCATCTCAGTTTAAAAAAATACACACCCTTCAATCTATTTCAATATAGACCTGCCATTCTTCTTCATAATAAGACCTTATTTCATAGTTGTCTGTCCTTTGTTGCTGCTCAGTTAATGGTTACCTTGGATTAGAGCAGATAATATTTTTGCTGTTATTGTGAAAAAGAATCATAAGAATGAATCGTCCTGTGTTGCAAACATCATGCTCCAAAGCTTGCAAACCCCAAAACCTGACAGAAATGTCTGGATTGCAACTCTTTATTATGCTGCGAATCATATTTCAAAACTTGATTTAATGTTATTGTGTACTGGGGAGGCCATAAGGGATTATTCTTCTAAATGTATAAATGTACCTTTTTGTCTATAAAATCTTTTGCAGCTTAAATGTTTCTGCCAATGACTGTTGTTTTTTTTTTTTTTGTTAAAGTCTGACACAGAGGCCTACCCTCCTCTAACCTCAATCTGTTTTTGATGCGCAGCCCCCTCTGGAAAGCCTCGCTACAGTCGAAGAGACGGTAGTCAGAGACAAAGCTGTGGAATCCCTGCGGAAGATCTCACAGGAGCACTCTCCAGTTGACCTGGAAGTTCACTTTGAGCCTTTGGTGAAGCGGCTGGCCAGCGGTGACTGGTTCACCTCTCGCACGTCAGCTTGCGGCCTCTTTAGCGTGTGTTATCCTCGTGTCTCCAGCACGGTCAAGGCCGAGATTCGTCAGTAAGTAACGACTTAAGAGAGCTAACCCATTCTTTAGTTTGAGGCGCTCCGTTGTTTTCAGTGTGATTCATACTGCACAGTCTCTTACAGAGCTCTGTGCTTGGGTGTGTTGTAAGGATTGCTGTTAAACAAAGTGTTGTGTTTATCACCAGGCATTTTCGCACCTTGTGCTCCGATGACACGCCGATGGTGCGTCGCGCTGCAGCATCTAAACTCGGGGAGTTTGCCAAAGTTCTGGAACTGGAATATGTAAAAACCGACATTATTCCTCTTTTCACTGCTCTGGCGTCTGATGAGCAGGTATGAGCAAGTTTGCTTTTTATTAGTTTCGTGAGCAGCATTCACGGTTCTGTTTGCGTACTTTGCTAAATGACCAAGCTGACCTTATTGTCTCCCCATTAGGACTCGGTTCGGCTGCTTGCAGTGGAGGCGTGTGTCAGCATCGCCACTCTCCTGCCTCAGGAGGACCTAGAGACTCTGGTGATGCCAACGCTGCGTCAAGCTGCCGAAGACAAATCCTGGCGGGTTCGCTACATGGTGGCAGATAAATTCTCTGAGGTAAATTAAAGACATCTTTCACTATTGTTCTGTTTTAAGTGTGTTTATTTGTTCTATTGCACTGATTGTCCATATTTTATATTTCTGTGATCTAGTAAAACGGTGATCATTGTCTGATCTCCTCAGTAAAGCAGATTATTGGCAGAATTTTGCTGGAATTTTTACAATATTCCAAATTATTTCTATGTATAGTAAACAAAAATGCATGTTTCTTCTGAGTTCATTCATTTAAATAGTGGCAGCAAAATAATCTGTTATTTCAATTTAGGTCATTTTGCAGCTATGACAGCTCATCAGAGTGGGAGTTCGCATGCAGTTTTTTCTGATGTTTTGCCCCAGTATCATATATTAAACTCTACAACCTAACGCAAAAGTTTCTTTGAATAAAACTGTTTTTATGTCCCTCAATCTGAAAAATCCAAAAACATCAAATTGAACAGCTAGTCAGTGAAACGTCAGTGTGCTTTAAAATTAGCGACCCAAAATCTATTCATAAGTTCCCTCATGTGTAAATGGAGTCTTCTCATGCTGCTGTTCTCACCACCACAACTCTAGATAAATGGAGGCTATTTCTGTTTTATAAATCGATAAAACCCGACAGATCGCAAACATGTTTTGAACTGAGATCAAAGTTCTGTTTAGTCAGTTTCCTAAGTTGGAAGTGCAGGTACAAACTTGCACAAAAATATGGGCGTAGCCTTTTTTTTCCTTCTTCTTCTTCCTCATTTCTCACATTGAGAGGCTTATAACTGAACATTAGTGATTTTATATATATATATATATAATATATATATATGAAATTTTTTATTGAAGCAAAAGTTATGAATGCAATTTTTAAAAAAAAAACCTGAAATCTTAGGATGCTGCATGTGTCGCCATCCTCCAAGAATACGTTTGTTTGTTGTTCTTTTTTACCAGCTGAATGCTGTTGTATCTGCTTTTTGTAAATTTAATCTGGAATAATTATTCTAAAAATAAATATGTTGGTTATTAAAGATGGGTTTTTTTTCCCCCCTTCCAATGCAGCTGCAAAAAGCTGTAGGCCCAGAGATCACAAAGAACGACCTGGTCCCAGCTTTCCAGAACCTCCTGAAGGACTGTGAAGCTGAGGTCCGCGCTGCCGCTGCCAACAAAGTTAAAGGTGAAATGGCTGTTAAATTGGTCTGAACTATTTCCACGTCCTGTCCTGCATTCTTAATTTGTTTTGTTGTGCAGAGTTCTGTGAGAATCTTCCAGAAGATAATCGTGAGCAGATCATCATGAGTCACATTCTGCCCTGTGTCAAGGTAAGGAGATAACTTTCTGTTTTTCTCATTTTGCGTTTCTGTGGATTCAGCTCCCGCCGTCACAAAGGACACTTTGCTGTGAGTGCTGGAGCGTGAGTTTAGCTGCTGATGAGGTTTATCCATCTGTCTTCCTTAAGGCTTTTATGGAGACATGTGATGCTCTCACAGTAACTTCATGGTTCTTTTTTCCAAAGTGGACTTGTCTGTCTTTGCTAAAAATAGTATTTGATTGCTATGTATTGGTATATATGTTAAGACTGTGGTGAAATTAACACATTTTCTCTGTTTTGTATTTCTGTTCTGGCTGGTCTTACTTTTTATAGTGAGCATTTTTCCACCTCATGAAAGTAAACCCACCCAGGTTTAGTTGGACGAATCTCTGCTGACCTAATAATTTGATTGCATTTCACTTATTAATGGGATTTGTGATGTATTGCATCCTGAAAGTGCCATGCTCGTTTTATCCAGTGATTTAAATAGGTCAAACTGGTGCTAACTAATAAAGTTATTATTTATCAAGGAATATGAAAAAACAATAATGATGACAAGGTGAAGCTTTAAAATTCAATAAAGCTAAAGCATTTGGTCTTTCATCCAGGAGCTACCATTAGATGAAGAGACTACAACTCGTAGTTGACGGCAGTGAATTGCTGAACTGAGAATGTTGACTGTCCTTGATTGCCACTTGTATTACTCCTCAGAGTATATACAGTTACAAATCTTCTCAGGAAATCATTAAGTTGTTGTCTGGCAGTATTTATTTCCACATTTAAGACAAAGGCTTAACCCAGTTGACTTGTTAGCTGGCTTTATGTACTACCTAGTGTTTGGTTAATGTAATCCACTTCTGTTGAGTTTACTTATTTAGTGCTGATTCTCAAAGCACTAAAGACGAACAGATGTATTATCAGATTTATCCAATTTTCCACACAGATTCTTATTTAATTACATGCATCCCAATTTCATCCTGGTTATTAAATATAATTTCTAATGTTGAGGTACTCATTTCATTTCAGCAGTGTGTAAATATCACCTGGTCATTAGGCAGTTTCCTGCCTTTTCAAGCTGGATCCAAACACAACACGACTTTCTGTAATATTCTTCAGTTCTCTGTAGATCAGACGACCAGTTAACTTGATAAACATCTTTTTCCACAATTCTCTTTATAAGACAAAATAATGTTAATATTAACCTCTGAAGCAACCAATCAGACTCGGGTCTGGTTTTACTTGGAGCTGGAGAACAAAGTTCATATTGTCTGGTTAATTTTTGACTTTAGGTCTCAGTAATATCTGTCTTTTAGAGTAATGTAGTTTTTACTTATTTTTACAGCAACTTCATAATTGTCCTATGGTGCACCTGAAATGACAAGATGTTGGAAATAACTAGAGATGTATTTTTTTTTTTTTGATGATGATGATGATTCGGTTGGCTATATTTCTCACACACCATATTCAAAATATAGTTTATAAATTTTAAGGGAGATTTTAAGCTCTTTGTATTAAAAATGTGTTTATATTATTTGGCTATTGGCCTCTTAATGAATTACATGAATATTCCAGGAAAGTACGAGTCATCATTTTCAAGAGTCACAGTATTTTAAAGGTGATTGCAAACTCTAAATGAAGCAGAATTTTTAATTACTAAAAGACTATCATTTTATTTGTAGAGTTAAGTGAGACGTGGTGGCTGCATGTGTACTTCTCAATTTCATAATTTGACCAGTAGATGGCACTATTGCTTTTTTAAAGTCTTTTTAAAGAAAGCCATACGTCATCTATCATTTCTACGACTCTAAAATTTTATAAAGTTTATTGAAAGCAGCGACAATAAAATGATCAGACTGTAGAGATGAATTTTGGTATAAAACAAAATCTAAATCACGAAAGGCAAACACCTGCTCTGTTTATCTTGTCAACATCTCAACAGTGAAGCTGAACGGGTGGCAACACACTCATACGTTTTCTCAGAAAACTATAAATGAATGCCAGCTCAAGCCTGTATTACCTGAACATTCAACACTCATTCCTGGAAACGGTTTCTTTATGCTATTATTATAAAATATCTCGTATAGCAGTTCCTTTTTTGGTGACTGTTGTGTTTTTTTTGTTTTTTTTTCCTTCTTTCTTTAGTCTGATTCATAGCAATGGAGTTGATTGTTTCCTGTTTGTTCTGATCTTTGTCTCCTGTGTGTCCTGTCCCTGACCAGGAACTGGTTTCAGACACCAACCAGCACGTGAAGTCTGCTCTGGCCTCTGTCATTATGGGTCTTTCCACCATTCTGGGCAAGGACAACACAATAGAGCACTTACTGCCTCTCTTCCTGACTCAGCTGAAAGACGAGGTGACCAAAATTTGACACTTAAAATCATGAGCACCAGGTTTTTGGTTTGGTTATTGCTGCTTTGTTGTTGTTTTTTTTCTTTCTTTCTTCTATATCTGGCTCAGGTTTTTGGAGTTGGTGAAGCTTTTAGCACGATATGTTTAAATTTGAGGCATCATTTGTGTATTTCTAAAGTAATCTGCCTAGGCAAAACCACCAGACGTACCTGACTGCCGCCTGGATGGGTAGGAGGATGATTCATGTGGTTGGCAGCCAAACTGAGACCTTCTAATTGGGGACTCGCCGTGTCTAAGAGGGGAGGGGAATACTAGGAAAATCTGGATAAAGTTTAATCAGAAAGTCTCCCGCTTAATGCGTTTGACAGTAAAGATTTGAAACATTTAAAAAAAAAAACAAAGAAAAGTAATTTCAGTGAAACTCAGCTGAGCATCTACTGTTGTTTGTGTTCCAGTGTTTGACTTTAAAGATGTTTGTTCACTGTCGAACAAAGTACTTTTCAGTCTCCAGTGAGTATATATTTGTTTTGCAGCAGCCGAGGCCGAGTTAAAAAATGTTGTTTTGTTTAAATGAATAATCCAGAACAAAAACTCCAGCTCACGTTCTCTCAAATGATCCCACCGATTTGAAAACGGTTTTGCATATTGAAATTGGCGAAGAGTTTGCTCACAAGGACATGTAAATGTTTTGGAGGGCTTCCGCTCATATTAATCCTATTTAAAGATGGCCCATTTTCCTCAAAGCACCAACCATCACTGTCTTATTATATTGCAGTCCAGACTGACGGCTTTGACTTGCAAATTTCAGTTGGAGGTGGATTTATCAGAACTGTGCTAAACTGAGCATTGAGCACAAACTACCTTCAAGTTTGTCACTACGTTTTCTCCGGTGTGCTTCTCTCTCTTATTTTACCACCATGACTGGAAGTTTGGAGGTTTTGTTTGGTCATTTATTGTCCATCAGGTTCACTTTGGTGCAAGTCTGCACAATTATTTTGAGGAAGAAGGCGTAAGAGTTCAAAGTGGGCTCCGCATTTTACCGTCTCCTTTTCCATTTCAGTGCCCCGAGGTCCGTCTCAACATCATCTCCAACCTGGACTGTGTGAACGAGGTGATTGGCATTCGCCAGCTGTCCCAGTCGCTGCTGCCGGCCATCGTGGAGCTTGCCGAGGACGCAAAGTGGAGGGTCCGCCTGGCCATCATCGAGTACATGCCTTTGTTGGCAGGACAGCTGGTGAGTCACGTGGTCGAATATCATGTGAACGGTCTTGTGTGTGAACGGAAATATTAGCAGTTTGTAAACAAAACATGTTAGCGGAACCAGATTTGGCAGTAGGTGTTGATAAAAGTCGGGTCTCATTTTGCTCGCTCTCGTCTCCTCAGGGGGTGGAGTTCTTTGATGAGAAGCTCAACACTCTTTGCATGGCCTGGCTCATTGATCACGGTAAGGCTCTTCGGCAGCTTTAAGATATTTTCCTCAGTAGTCTGATCCATCGTCATAATGCGACGTTTGAAGTTTTGGAGTTTCTCTGACGCAGATGCAGCTCATATCTGCTGGGTTACATGACAGGCCTTCTGTTTTCATACAGACAGTATATGATTAGCACACCAGTGAACTTTGGAGCTGAGGAATGTTAGTAGCGAGTCGGAGGAAGGATGACATGTGGCACTTTGAAGCTCTTTCCTTTATTGTACATGTAAAGGAGCTGTAACTGTGCTATTGTCTGCAGCTACAAAAGAATTGTATTAGAGGGACAGCAGTTGTGAAACTGTTTTTGTCAACGTTATGTCGCTAAAGAATATAATGTTTTAATACTTCCTGTATGCATCGACAGAAAAGCTTTTGTTCTCTTAAAATCCAAGATTTTTCTGACTTAACAATAACATTATACATCATTTAAAAGCTTTTTCTGACATTTAGTTTCACATTTATGCTCTGCATTTCAACATAAAATTAACTAATCTTTTATAGGGAAAAAATAATACATCCGTAGTAACCTTTATCAACTAGGGTAGGCAAACTGATCATTTGTAGAATCATATTTTGAATAAAATTCAACTTTCAATTATTAGGAATCTATTAACGACTCTTGATAATTAAACCACCAGTCTACCAATATCTACCAAATTTTGTGTAAATCTTTTGTCCACAGTCTTTTTCACATGATGCCCCAGATTTAGCGTCAGTTTTATCTCCTGGGGCGATTCTGTAGCTTTATCTGGTGTTTTGGATAAATGCTGGGATGCGTTCTAGAAATCACCTGGTTGTGTCGGATTTCACTCACCTACAGGAAAACTAAATAAATGTAGCTGCAGACTAGGATGTTTCCGCCATCATGTCCAACTCTGGGAATGCTGTTTCTGTGGTGACCTGCTGTGTTGTTTTTGAGCCAAACAAGCCTGTTGGAATTGTGGCCCAGATGTTTACGTCCAGTTTCATCAAACCCAAATAAATGATGCTTCAGGTTTCTAGGGCCTTCATGTTTTCTTTGGAGGAAATGGATTCTGTTTTGCAACTCAACTACTGTGTGTGGACAATACAGGGGGTTGTTGTTGTTGGCAGGAATAGCGCAGGCCTCTTTCCTGACAAGTTTCCATTTTGTTCTTTTGAAATAGTTTTTGAAAATCACGCAGCTTCTGGTACTGATGTGTTTTTTCTTTAACTGCTGATGAAGGTCTATACACTGCCGTAGTATGTGCATGTATAATGGTGTGGACTTTGGTTTGCAGCCTTTTCCTGACTGATGCCTTTGGTACAATAAGTTCTTTTTTTTTTTTTTTTTTTTTACCCTTTTTTGCAAACGATGACTTTAAACTCAAGGATGCAAGTAAGAACATGTTGGAAAATTTCTACTAAGGCAGCTGAACTTGATTTTAGGTTAATCAGATGCATCATAAATTCTGGCATGTGGGTCATTAATAGTTTCCACCCATTGATTATACACCAAGTTATTTCAAGTCTGCTCAAGTTTACTTAGGTAAATTAGATTATGTCTGATTATTGTCTGTCAGCAGGGTGTTGCTTGTTCATACTTCTTTTTTTTATCAAGGGTCCTGGTATTAGAGGTTTTATAAGAGCCTTCTTATCCAAACAGAGATTAGATTACTTGAATAATTGAGTAATATGAAGTCTGAGGAGAAAATGTGCAATGAGTTGGTTTGGAGCAATTTCACAGCAATTTGTCATCTTAATCCCTAAAGAGAAGCTGATTTGTAGTGTCCACTCTTACACAGCACTTTAGATATAAAATGGCAACATGTGGTTATGAAATGGGGGTACACCTCAACAAAGAAGCAGTCAAAAAAACAAAAAAAAAAAACAAACAACAACCCAGTCGGGTCCCTGTTGGCTCCCCCGTCACTGCTCGTTATGTCTGTTCTGCGGTGCAGCCGCCTGCACTCGAAACACTGGAGGGGCCGCCGCACAACACACCCTGCTGAGTCTTGGAACTTCTATATCTAACACGAAGCATTCGCTGTGTATGCGGTGTTCTCTTGACACCGAGTTTTCCAATTAGAGAGGCAGATACTCGGCGTTGAGGACAAAGGGCCAGCTGGGTTACATCATTGGAATGCTGCTGGTGTGAGTTTCTATGTGTGAACGGCTCGGGTTAGGGCTGTGCCACCCTTACATAAGCCTTTCAAAGAACAGGAGTACAGACTTGAATGCACAGCTTCTCTCATTCACACTCGACTAAAAAGATAACACCTTGTATTTATTTTTAAGACGGCCTATTTCTGCCGTGATTGTTTTTGCCGTTTTGTTCTAAAATTGACTCGGCGGCGCGTTGAACCCGCTCTGGCAGTGCATTATTTTGTTCCGTTCTTCTTGCGTGGGGTTATTGCGTAATCGTAAGGGCTAAAGGACAGCTGAGACATTTACAAGTGGTTTGTTTTAAAATGTCATGAAGATATTTGCTGGCTCTTTGGGTGGGTGATCATCCAGGTTCTGGTTTTTTAGCTAAATGTCTTCTGAATGCTTGAGGAGATCAAGAAGTTAATACTTAAAACATATTTGAAACCCCCAAGTTTTCCTAATTTTGAGTTTATCTTTGGTCACTGATAAATCTTAACTGACATTAATAGGATTACTATTAGAAATTACTGATCAAGCATTTGTTCTTGTATCATGTTGAGCTTTGACTTCTTGATGACAAAATTCGCCGATTCTGTCTTTTCAGCAGCAGCGATTTACAACGTTCACAGTATTCCTCTGTCTTGCTGCGAGTAGCAATGAAGTATTTGGCAGAAGAGACGACGATGAGGTCAAAGGCTGATCTCAAAAGCATCAAACTGAGTGACCTCAGCCACAGCTGCAACATGTTCAGCCATCTTGTGTTCAAACCTTGTAAAGTTTGCTTCTAATACCAACTTCTTTAAATACGAGATGATCGACTTTATAAAAAAAATATATATTATAGCTAGCCACCATCAAGCAGTCCAAGAGTGCATTCACACCAGCCCCGCTTATTCTGCTTTAATCAAACTCTAGTCTGTCGGCTGGAATGTCCGGTTTGCTTGAGCAGGTGTCAATTTGAGCGGTGATCAAAAAAGCGAACTTTGGTCCGCCAAAAATCTAGTTCAGTTGAAGTGAACTCTGGTTCAGTTCAAATGCATATATGAATGCCAAGGGAATTGGTGACCGCTCCAAAAGTAGGAAGCGGATAGTAGTGCAGGGCATGCTGGGTGAATACAACCAAAACAAAGGGTGAGTCTAGAACTAGGAGGAGAAATGGCTCGTGGTCTTTTGCCAAAGATATAAGAGAAATCCTACAACCGCTAAAATCTGCCGCCGCTCCACTTTTGTAGAGAAGAAAGTTGCGCTCAGTGTCGTCTTTGGGTCGTTTCTTTCAGTGGTTCACAGCTGACAGATCTCTATAGAACATGGTTTCCTTTTCCATCAAAACAGATTTGAGCTAGCTTCATCTTCACTACATCTCAGTGGTTGGGTACGATGGATGCCTCCATTCATTGGAAGAAAGATCGGACTTGAGTGTCTCTGGCCAGCTGGTTAAGCTAAAATGTGCGATTCTGGTCACTTTGTACCCTTTGGTGCATTTCCAGCTCTGATGCGTAAACCTGAAAGGCCTCAAGGTTTGGCCTGCCTCAGCCAGGCTCTGTAAAAACCTGTAGAGAGCCAACATGTGTAGTCAGTCATCGGCATAATTTTAACTTGTTTGTTTTCAGTGTACGCCATCCGTGAAGCGGCCACCAGTAACCTCACCAAGCTTGTTGAGAAGTTCGGAGCCGAGTGGGCCCAGAACACCATCGTCCCCAAAGTCCTGGGAATGGCCAACGACCCCAACTACCTCCACAGGATGACCACGCTGTTCTGCATCAACGTGAGCAAACGCCAGTTTTTCATTTACCGTGGATACAGGGGGGCTACTTTAGTTTCTCTTTCAAATCCTAACTTGTCGCCCTCCACTTGGTTCGTAAGGCTCTGTCTGAGGCTTGTGGTCAGGAGATTACCACCAAGCAGATGCTCCCAGTGGTCCTCAAGATGTCCAACGACCAGGTGGCCAACGTCCGTTTCAACGTAGCAAAGTCACTTCAGAAGATCGGACCGGTCCTGGACAGCAAGTACGTTTGGTGGTGGTTTGTTTTTTTTCTCCCCAGACCAGAACAGGGTTCTTCTAAAGTGGAGAACCTGGTTTGATGAATTAAACTGACATTTTCTGGGTTTACTTCCAGTGCCCTTCAAACAGAAGTGAAGCCAGTGCTGGAGAAACTGGCCTCTGACTCAGACATGGATGTTAAGTACTTTGCCCAGGAGGCTATTAGTGGTGAGCATTTTTCTCCTCTTACTGCGGAACAACTTGGACATTCATTTTATTTGATTTACTTTGAGTCTTTAACAACATCATTTTTTTTCTCTCTCTCTCCCCTTTCTCTCTCTTTGCAGTTTTGGCACTAGCATAACCAACCCCATCACGGCTAATCCAGAAAACCTCCCCGAAACAAAAATACACCCAGGTTTAGAATATATTTATTGATGTTCAGAACCAACTGATTGATGTATAGAAAATCTGTTAACAATTGTTTTATCTCCTCCCCCACCCCTCATTGTTTGTTTTTTTGGTTTAGTTTTTTTTTTTTTTTTATTATTGTTCAATGATAGTCTATGTCCAAACTAGCACAGGCTTCTGTACCATTTGCTGTACATGGGCGCTTTTATCCAGGCAAAGTGATGATTAAAGTTGAATTAAGTTGTGCATGCTGACAAATGTCCTGCTGTACTTGCTAAGCATTGCTAACCATGCATCCCCCCCCCTCCTCAGTCTGCTGTTGTACTTCAGCATTCTGCGTCTGTGCTAGCTTTCTGTGCCGGATGGAAACTTCGAGCTGCAGATGGTGAAACCTGCTCTCTGTGTCTCTGTCGAGAGCCCAGCTCCGGTCGCACTCCAGACCAGACGCGTTTCTTCTTCGATGTTTTACAGAACAATCATCAAAAACAAACCACCCTGGTGAAATATAAAAAATATATATATAAGGGTGTGTACTACTGCATGTACTCTGATGAACCTCCTCTATGATTGCACGTCTTTATCAGTCTGTGTTCCATCTACCAGACGAAGGTGTCGCTCTGCACCGTTTGTTTCCTGCAGTAACAGATTGAATTGGTCAAATTAACACATTGCCCCATCATGTAACAGGGACCAACCTATATTTAGCATGATGCTCATAATGATCCCCCCCCCTTTTCTTTTCTTTTTTTTTTTTTAGATGTTTTGTAGACAAGTGAGGTTTATTGTCATATCTGTTGACAGAATTGCTAATTTAGAAGCAACTTTTTTTTCTTTCTTTTTTTTTTTTAATGCCTGGATAAACCGCTTTGCTCTGGAAAAAAAAAATGACAAAAGACGCCATTCTTCAGTATTTTGCTGCACGGTAAAACTAAATTGTTGACAGCTATCATGGCAAACAGAAAACCACGGCTGTTTTAACGGCAATCAGTTTTTTTTGTTTTTTTTCTTTTAAAGCCAAGCCAGGTCCTCCGCTCAGCATGAGGTCAGAAAGCAGTAGGTTAGAGGACTTACTGCTTAGAAACCTCGACGAGATGGAGATCAACGAGTGCATGCTTTCAAAGACGGCTTGTAGGGGCTGCTTATGTACGTAAAGCTGCATAATGTTTTATTATGGGGTGGGTGGCGGCGTGGTTAGAGGGCGGGTTGAATAAACGTCAGTCTGTGTTAATAAAATAAACTTTTGTCTTTCTCTGAACTGCTCCCTCCTGTTCGTTGCCCCCCTCCCCCTCTCATCCTCTTCTCTTGAATAAACCTTAATTGTCGATTGTCCTGTATCACCAAGACTGTGCTCTGATTTTTACTTTGAATTCTCTTCACAGTTGGGAAGCTGTACTACTGTATCTTGATCCAAATAAAGTAACAAACAAGCTGTGTACCCGTTGGTTTCTAATTTCCTTGCCAGCTTGCTGCAAACAAGGTTTATTTTTAAGTTTGCCTCAGCAGATGTTGCAGTTTAGCTGCACATCTTGCCTACCTCGATCCATAAAGCGACTCGCACCAAGAAGTGAAACCGAAGCAACGCATCCGCAGAGATTTGTAACGTTTCGTTACGTCACGACTAAATATGAATGTATTCTTTCGGAGTATTGTATCTGTATTCCTGCAGAGTCCCTGTGCAAAGAAATGTAAAACCATGGCATGTAAAATCAACTTTTTTTTTAATGAAAAACCTACCTGGAGTTTTGCCTTGATTCTTTCATGCATGTTTGAGAAATCCTTTAATCTCCCGTGGCAACCGTTCGGCTGAGCAAAACCCTTGGGGGACTGAGCGCCGCCTTTGAGGATGAAGCTCCTCCTCAGAGCTGCAGCTCCCAATCTTCCGAGCTTCTGCCTCACAAAGCACCCAAATCCCTGCGACTCCAGCCATTCGGCTCCTGCAGACTAGCCGAGAGCAATTAGCAAACACCAGATAATTAGCTGATGCTGCTGAATTGCTTATACAAGCCACTTCTCAGTGCAACGCTTGTGAAAATGTCTTTCATGGGCTAATAGAGGAGCGATGTTGTGATGACTTCCTAAAGAGCAAGAGTTTCTTAAAGAGACAGAAGCCCAATTTCTAGCTGTTAACTTGTGAAGTCATATTTGGTATGTACAGCATTTTTATAACAACTGCAGGTAAAATACTTACTTGATTGAACTATTAAATGGCACTATGTGACTGGGAAACAAGCAATACTGCCTGTAACCTTTTTTGGCTTTTCTCTGTGAGAGCTGAATAAACCTGACCAGTTTTCATTTATTTAGGGGAGTTTAGGTCATTTAAAGCAGGCGATCTGCTTTAAATGAAAAAAAAAAAAATAAATATGTAAATAAGTGAAATGTTTAAAACAAGGCTAGAATGGTGCTATTTTAAAACAATTCTGCTCACTTGGCTTCATGTTTTGGTCCCGTTTCCTCACAGGAACAGTCCAAATTTCTTATTAGTTTTAGTTTTTTTTTCTTCTTAAGGACAGTAAACAGATTTGTAAAAACCGAACTGGAAGAACATTGAACCCTCTGCTTTTCAGCTTGGCGTGTGTTCTTCTCGATAATTAGTCCCACATGTTCCCCACTCTGTGTTTGCTCAGATCTGATCTGGTCGGTAGCTCCTGAGGAGATGAAAGTGCGGCTCCTCTGGTCGGCTTTGACCTCAGAGGAGCTTGCTGAGCAGGACTCCGGACACCTGACCCCTCAACCGCTGCTGGGGTACGGCGCCGTGCAGAACGAGGGCTGGGCCCCAAGTCATTCTGTTTGGGGAGGAAATATGTTTGGATCCTCTTTTTTTTTTTTTTTTACAACGATGCCGGGGGGGATTTTGAAGCCAGATTTGAGCTGCTGAGTTTTGCAGAAGCAGATTTAAGATGCGCCATCCGTTCAGTTAGCTCCAAAGGAGCAGCTGACGGAGAGGATTAGGGCGATAAATCACATGGCAGAGGCCTTTATGAGAACCTCAACTTTGCTCTCTTTAATCTCCTCGAAATCTCCCATCAGCCCTTGTTGGTGCTTTGAGCTTTCCCAATCCTCCACACAGTCATCTGACTGTATACCTCATTGCTGGGGTTTAGTATGCCCTGCCCCAGAGTTTTTTTTTTTTTTTTTTTTTTTTTCTTTTCGTCACACTCAAATGGTTTTGATTGATGAACATAAAATGCAGTTTTTAATTGGTGGGGGGAGGAAAAATACTCCGATCTTGACCACAGTTCCTCCTGCAGCAGCCAAATGTCCAAAAGGTTACGGCTGATATTTTTAACAAAATGTTTGAGGTAAGGAGAAAAATATTTAGCCGGCATAGCATTATTGGTGTCGTGTTTTTAAAAAAATCCATTTGAAAATCCAGTCAGAAATTGGAGGATTTTTATTTTTTGTTTTTCTGATTCTTGTTAGATAATCAGAAATCCATGTATGATTTGTAGACTTGGAGATGACGTCCAGTCGTGTCTCTCAGGGAGTCCTGCGGTAGTTGATATGGACGGTTAGGTGTAAAATGACATGCTGAAGTTCATACTCGAATAAGTAAACATTTGGAAAATGTTTAGTGGTGTTACAACAATTGAAATAATTTACCATGCTCCTAATTCTTTTTGTTGTTGCTGCCTTGTTGATTCAACTCTTAGGAGTTGGATAGGGGTTTTTATTTGGGCCTTTCCAAAATTACACCATTGACTTCATTATTTTGCCAAAATTCTGACTTTATTACACAAGACCTTCAGAATCAAGCAATCCCTCCAATATCACCTGATGGACAACATGAGGTAGCCGAACAAATCTGAATAATATCTCATCACATCTATCGGTCGTAAGAGATACAAACCCATTTCTAAGGCTTTGGGACTCTAAGAGCAAATGCAGCATTTGAGGTTGACAATAAAACATTTCCTCTCGCAGATCAAAACATGCTGGGAAGGGAGGGGCAACGCTCTTCTGGAAATTTTGTTTTTTATTAAAACACCATTACCTGAAAAAACGGGGGGCTAATTCACCCCTCCAATCCACTGGAGTTCACCAGGCAGTAATAAAACAGCAGCAGTCCATTTCTCTCTATTTAGATCCGGCTATTTGGGAGGATTTCAGCAGCTTGAGCCCCTGACAGAGCCGAGAGCCTTGACGTCAATGCAGCTGCCTCCCAGGACTGTGTCATTTATAACGAACGGAGTCAAGCAAAGCCCCCTCACAGTGTGACAGTGCCACACACACACACACACACACACACACACACACAGAGTGAGGTCAGTTCCTCTCAGGATGACAAATGACAAACATCAGGCGGGGAGAGGAGGCGCGCTGCCGGCCAGCTCCGTTTCTTCAAGTCACCTTGTCGCTCCAGCTCTCTCCCTCTGTTCTTCTCTGAACTGTATCAGAGGATCTGTGAAGCTATGAGTGTTTGACCCTTTGCTCAGCCATCCAGCCTACAGGCCACACTGCCAGGTGGGCTTTTTTTTTTTTTTTTTTTTCTTCTGACACTACTAGGTCATGTGTGCAGGGATTTTAAGAGTTTATCCAATCTGCTGGCCAGCATGAGTTTCGCCAGAAATCAGAGACAAGAAAAGGCCGTGTGACCTTCAACACCTCATATATATATAATCCTCACACATTTGGAGATCTTTTGCTTCAGCTGTAAGGTCTGTTTCCAGTTGTGGTTACGTAAAAATGAATGAATGATTTATTTAATAAGTAGAAAAGGGAACCGAACTCGGTTTTTGTAAGCAGATAAATAGAGAAATTTAAATATATATTGCAGTAACTATTGTTTTTGTTGTTAAAATGAAAACATAATTAAGGCATCATTTCAATTTTGAAGAATGAAGAACTTACGTAACGTGTAATGACTTATGCATTGGCTACATTTATGCTCACAAACCTCGCAGACGATACGAGTCCATTCCAAAACTTTACTCTCGCTGCATCGCTGTTCTGCAGTTGTGCCGCGATCTGCCGCTCTGAAAGACACGGCGGGATGTTGTCATCCGTCCTCCTGCGGGTTGTCACGGCAACCGCTGATGTCATTACAGAGTACTCTGGCCTGATGAGCGAACGGGGCCACCTCTGATACTGTGATATTTTACTGAGGAAGAGGAGGAAGATCATCCGTGTCGGCCTGCAGGAGATCACAGCAGCGGCGAATGTGAACTATAAATAACAGCATTTCATATATATATATATATATATATATATATATATATATATATATATAAAGGCTGCTGTCTTGCAGGGAAATTCATTGCCAGCCTGCACGTTTTATTAAGAACACAGGAAAACAGAATCCATGTCAAAGCAGAAGTGAAACAGAGAAGAAGTGTTAGCTATTCTTTTCCTCCTCTCCCCCAAAGATTCCTTCCCTGATCCCCACAGATGGGATTAGTAAAATTCTCCACATGCGCGCGACCTGAGACGACTTTCTCTGCGATACTGGATCTCAGTGCTGGACTCGGTTTTATCATAGCATCATTATTGACAAATTAAAAAAAAAAAAAGTTGGTAGGATTGTCTGGAACTGTGCCAAGCACGTTCAGTACATACTCAGCAGATCAGGATGACTTTGAATCATTTGGCTGGTATAAATCGGATCAAGATCCGATGTGGGGGATCCCCAAGGGTTTGTCCTTGGGTCACTTTTTTCAGTATTTTAATGCTTCCCCATGCTCAGGAAATGAATCGCATCGACTACAAAAGACACGCCAGTGACTCACAACTTTATATTTCTGTCACCAACACGTGACCAAAGGTCCCTGCAGTCAGTGAGTCAGGTTGTCCATAATATCAGTCACTAGATGGGTCAGAATTTCTTCGAACTTGATGCAGAAAGAGACAGAAATCACTGGTTTTACCACCCAAAAAATGTATAGCAACGTACACAGAGCTAAAACTACATAGTGCATGGATTTTCAGGAAAATAGATCATTGTAATTTTCAAAATGTTGCTTTAACGACTTTCCATCAACAAATTTGAAAGGTTATTGCAGTTTCCAATAAGATCAAGTGTTTCATCAGATTGATTTTAGCAGGCCTTAGCCAAGTACGCTTGAAATCTGCATTTAAATGCACATTGTACATTAAATCCTTGCTGCTTTACTTTCTCATAAAGCAGCTTGAATTTTATTACCTCGTGCATGGATTGTGATATTCTAAGTGCCTCGCCTTCTAAGATCCGAGAGCCGAGGAATGGGGCCGACTGGAATCTGATCCAGAGGGAGTTTTGGACGGTCGTGACCTACCGAGGACGCTTTGGCCCGGCAGCCCAAACAGAGAGGTCGTGCACATGGTCTCATCCCAGGAAAAGAAGCCCTTCTCTGGTTTCCATGAACAGACTGACCCCCTTCCTTGGATCCACCCCCACCTACCACTGTTGGTGTATTAGTAGGATTAGCTGTCCTCTATCTGAGTGGGCTGATTGGATTGACGTGTTCCCTCTACATGAGCCCTTCCACACACATTACCCGTGTTTTTCTCATGGCCCTGAGCAATCCCTCCGTCCCTTCCTCCCTCCACTCGATGGGAGCATAGTTTGCTCTAAGGACATTTTGACCGAAACCTGCTGTTTCTGCAGAGACCAATCAGAGTTTCGCCTAATTTTACACCGAGAAAGAAGTGGTGTTTGAATTCCCTGCAGTTCCCCATGCATTGCCGGGTAAGTTTCCCCGAGGAAGGATTCAGTTTGGTGTCGAGGTGGAGAGATCAGCCACTGGTCAGGGCTGCAGCTCTCATCTCTGCTGATAAATTATTCACCGCCTCCTGCAGGTTAACGCTCATTGCTAAAAGAGCTCTTGCAAGATGATGCAGTTTTACAGCTACTTGTGCAACAAAAGAAGAAGAGCAGCGTTGAAAGAAATGTCCAATCTGATAGTATCTTCCAACACTGTTATAGGTGGACTTTCCTTTTGTGGATACTTTAAGATGTCCGGTACTTGTACACCAAGAAGGAGCCGAGTCCATATCGTAAGGTTGAGGTGGTTCCACCTGGATCCTGGTCGCCATGTTCATTCCTGGGCTGGACTTATTCGTGATTAATCCTAAGATATATGTGGTTTGAGAACCTTCGGTCTCATTGTCGAATTTTGAACAAAATGCCATTTTGTTGCGATACGTTTTTAAAGGAGGAGAAGGTGCTATGTAAATATACACCACTGCAGTTCAGGTTCTCCACTCGGTTCGCCCAGACTAGCAGCAGCAGTCCAACGCTCCCAAGAACAGACGTCAACGACGTAGTGGGGGAACATTGTGACGATGCGCTGGGAGTAGGAGCTTCTTAAAGAGACAGAGGCATCAACTTTTTCAGGTTATGTATGATATATGCACCATTTTTATAATACAAGGTAACAAAGTTACTTGAATGTGCTATAAAATGGCACCATGTGACTGGAAAGAAATACCACAAATTAAGGCCTCCAGGCAAATATATGGATTGATGGACAAGTGAAGAGAGGAAAAGATGGAAGAATGGGATGACAACGGGAAATAGGAAGACTGACTTTTGAATGGGAAGAGATTAATAAATGAATAGACAGATGGACTGATGCATGGATTGGTGCATGAATACCAGGATTTTAAGATAAATGACAGATGTAAATAATGTAATGTAATGATGTAATTAATAAATTAATGAGTAAATGGATAGATATTTAGACGGACTGAATGGCTGATGGTGGACAGATGACCTGAGCAGGATCACTCCTTCAACCCACCGATTAACCAAGACAAACACAAACATGAAAGAAAGACGTCCGACTCTGTTCAATAAACCTTTTTAATCTCAACAGCAAGTTAGCTTATGTGTGGTCAACATCAATGAAGGTAAATATAAAACTGAATTTCTATTGATTGACTTTTGTTTTTAAATCAGCAGGAGGTGAAATTATGATACCTGGAAACACATCCACAAGAATCTTCATGACTTTAGTCTTCAACTAGAGAAATATTGCTATAATACTTTTAAATGGCATACACAGATTTGACCAGCTAGAAAATAATAATAATAAAGACAACAGAGAAGAAAATAAAGAAGCTCCAAAACTCCACATGGTGGGTTGTACAGGGAAACTTCTGAGGGACTTTGGTACCTTTGGAAAACCTGGTTCTACTTATATTCAGGGGAAAAAAAACAAAACAAAATCATAAAAACAGAGAGGAAGCAATAGTAAAGTAAACGACACAGGAGCCAAACCAGGAATAGTCATTCTTATTTAGATTGAAAAGAAGTAAAAAGGCACACTGAACACTATTCAACACAACTCCCCCACCGGGCGAGGATTCACTACAGCCACACAAACAACACTCGTCATAATAAACTGAAAAGTGTTGTTTTGTCTCAGATTCAGATCGACAGTCACGTAAAGTGTCGCGCTCGGTCTGGTCTTACCTCGAAAGAAAATGGGTTTTGTGTCCATTATTAGTTGGGGAAGAGAGAAGGAGAAAGGCGTCTCCCTCCCGATCGGAGGACACTTCGTCCGCCAGGAAGCCACAAACCTTCCCCACGTTTTTCTCCTCCTTCTTCCCTGTAGTGAAAGTGCTCCAGTGTTCAACCTCCCAAGATCCTCCGGTAGATCTTTCAGTCTGACCATTCACAAAGGCAACTCCCCCTCCCTCTCTTATGCCAAGCCTCAATTATTTTTTGCTTCAGTCCTTATTTCTATCTAATGGACATTTAAACCCACAAACTGGGTGTGAGCTTTTTTTCCCCCCGTCAAACTATGGCTGGATTACGACAAGAGCAACATGCCGAGTTTGTAAAGTGAAGGGTGGAACTGTTAATGCGACTACGAAGCGAATGTTGCAACAGGCCTGCAATTCATTCTGGTCAGCCGAGTCTGTTGAAGGTACTAAAAACCAAGTAAGTGACCAAATAAGCCAAAGAGCTGCTGTTCAGTCAACCTTACAAAAGGTTTCGAATCACAATCCAACGACAGATTTTCAACACAAAGAAGCACACAGTTGTTCCAGGCTCCTTGTCCCTGCAACCCCGTAGCATGATGTTGCCACCACCGTTTGTATTCAGCCCCCTTTATTCTGATGCCTTGATAAGAAACTATTAGTCTCTTCAAATCCGGTCTGCCATTTTTGTAAATATCATTTTCGTTAATAAAATAAGATATAAAACTTGAAAACATTTTTCTTCAAAGCCCTGGGTAGACCCACTGGTGGCAGTATCATGCTGGGAGGACGTTGCTCTTTAGCTGGGACAAGAAAGCTGGCCAGTCGATGGGAAATGGATGGTGAAATGGTTCAGATCAAGGCTTGTTGATGCGTTTAAAAACCACTTATCTGTTTCCTTCCACTTCACAGTTACATGCTACTTTTGTTGGTCGATAAATCCTAATAAAAAAAAAAAAAAAGTTGGTCAAACAAATGAGCTAATTTAACTTTTATCGTTGGGTTGATTTACTCAAACTCCCCGCACATGAACCAAGGCCAGACCAGCTTTTGTTGACGGTTCAACTGTCAGTTTCAACTCCGGGTCAGACAAATCTGAGCGAACACCTTGGTTCTGCTGCTGGATCCGACTCCAAACCTTCCTACAGTTTAACCACAAACCACCACAAGCCGCACGGTCTGGCAGATGGTCGCAGTACCGTAATCTCATCTCAACTGCTGTCATGACGACTGATCATCTGTCAGAGTTATATCTAGTAGAGCGAACACAGTCTGAGTGCCGTCAAAGTAAAATAAAAAAAATAAAAAATTGAGATAGGCTGAGGAAACGATTGAGATTCCCCGTTAGCTGAAGGATGCTGGGCTTCATCTTGCAGCAGCCGCAACGTCAAAGGGGAGAATCCACTCAGGAAATCTTTAAGGGGTTATTTATTTAAAAACAAAATAAACAAAAAAAAAACAGCAGAGGCATGACTGGAGCAGAGGAAGTAAACCAGAAATAATCTCTAAAACAAGTACTGTGCAAAAGGTTTAAAAAAAATAATCTAAAAACACTGTTTCTGATTTGATTACAGAATACCTTAAAAAGATAACTTTTGCTGTTTGCGGGGCAAATACAGTATTCATTTTTGATTAAATTAATACCCTAAATGATTATTTTTGGAAAAAACTAACCAGTTTCTCCGACTTCAACACAGTAACCTCCATGAAACGTTTCCTAGCGCGAACAGAGGTGAGATTATCTCCCGCTTACATCATCCGCTCCAGTGACGTCACCGCTGACCTGGAGGTGGCTGGGGAACCAATCGGAGGCTTCCGTTCGCGACCCCCCCTCGCAACCTCAACATTCAGGATTAATATTGCTTCGATATTGCCACAGAAACACACGTTCAACTCCAACCCTCCACTTTCCACGTTGAATCGACATCAGCCCTCATTTACCAGGCGAAGGCAAGAGCCACGCCTCCGCTGAACTGGTAATCATGGTAATGGGTGAACTGGAACTGGGACAGCAATCAGTAGTGTTGGAAATAGCTTGAGATCAGTAGTTAGAATTTATGAATCAAACATCACAAAATTAAAAAAGAAAAAGAAACTATATGTCCTTAACGGTTAAGAAACGTAACACCATAGCAGGTATTTGTTACATTTTTGTGTATCAAAGTGATAGTGTTAAAACCTGTTGATGACCATGGTAATATAACTGCACAAAAACACCAGCTTGAATCACTTGAATTTGCATTAATATTTGTGGTACCGTGATAAACGAGGGCCATCTTCTCCTGCTCACTTGGTTCGCTCCCTCCCCCATCTTCTCCAAACAAATTGAATAAAAGTCCACAGAAGTCTCATTCAGAAACCCGCCTTATTGTCGTCAACGGTAACTTGAAGTACGAAAAGCACAACCAGCCTTTTTGTGCTTTTGGTTGCCGTTCAGTTTCAAGTCCCTAAATTAGTTTGCTCTCAAACCATTTCTAGGCGAAATGTTGCGGCATCCCCTCCGCCAGTCAGCACATATGGCGACAGCAGCCTCGCCGCGTCGGCACGGCGACAGGCCTCCTTGCTGCCTTGCGAGGGCAGACGAGAACTACAACAGGGGGTTGCAGAAGGAGAAAGGGAGGTAGGTTGAGGGAGGATTTTGGTACAAATGTTGAGGCTTCTTACAACTAAGAAATGAAGTTTCTATTAGTTGCACAAAAGTGAACACTTCCTTCCCTGCTGCTACGCTTACGACCTCCGCTTACATCTCCGTTCTCCCTGCTCTTAATGCTGCGTCGCTGTTTAACACTGCTCTCTAGGAACAACAATAACCTCCTCTGGCTGGGTTCAGTTGACCAGTACGAAGCCCTGCTGGGAGTCCACGGTCTCCATCATCTCGCTGTCCAGCAGAGAAGCGGGCAGCTCGCTCATCCCCAGGCTGTCCGACTGGGCTGGCCCGCCCAGAACCCCAGGCGTGGCCCTGGCGTCCGCCTCTCCTGGAGCGGGATGCAGCAGCGAGGGGGGGTTCATGGACAGCTCGTACTGGTCTGGCGGAAGAGCCTCAGGAGGGGGCCCGAGGACGGGCTGCTCGCAGCCAGGAGGGAAGCTGAAGCCCAGGCCGCAGCTGGAAGCATCTTGAGGCATCTGGTGGTGGAGCTGGGGGTGGAGGTGGGCTCCGTGAGGCAGATGTTGGGTGTAGTGGTGATGGCTCATGTAGGGGTCGTAAACCACGCCCTCCCCTGGCTCCAGTAAGGGGCTCAGGCTGAGGGCGTGGCCGAAAGGGGCGGCGGCCTGAGAGCCGCCTGGCTGCTGCAGCTGTTGGCCGCCCGCTGGCATGGCGGGGCCCTGCGGGGGGCCCGGAGGTGCTGCGGGGTCCATAGAGGGGCCGACCGGAGGATAGGAGCCTTCAACTATCTGCATCTGGTTGAAGTAGGCCTGCAGGCCCATTCCCTGCGACTGCTGCTGCAGGTACATCCTCTTCTGGTTCAGTCTGGAAGGAGGCATCAAATTAGCACAAAAGCATTTTAAATAAAAAAAAACAAGCAGAAAATGCAGAAAAAGGGGAACTAAATATATAAATCACTAAACTGCTGTATGTGTGTTTTATAAGAAAAAAATCAATCCAACACAAAGAAGGATGAAGAGCTATAGCTATAGAGTTGGGAACGCCTTAATATGAAGGAAACGGTTCATAGAAATGTGTTAAAAATGTTCATGGGACTGAAACAAAGCAGCCTACTTAAAGCGGCTCTGCTCATTAGAATCACATGAGAGGCAACATAAAAATAAAAAAATGCTCGGCATGAAATCAGCACAGCAACATGGATGATGCTGAACAAAATGGAGCATCAGTCCGTCCACCAGGCTTGGGTTCCTGCAGAAACGCCGTGCTGAAGCATTTCTACACGATTTCACAATTCTGACAGATCTGCTTCGCTAAATACTGCAATTCTGGATGATTTTCAAGTCTTACACCAGATTTGACTGGACTGTGATGTTTCAAGTATTTTGAAGCATCTAACTGGATTGCCCAATATTTATCTCCATTCATCTTCCCCCCATCTCTGTCTCTGTTAAGGAACGTCTTTCCCCACAGCGTGAACCATCACCAAGTTTGACTTTGGGCATGATGGTGTGTTCAGGGTGATATACAGAGTTAGTTTTCCATCACACAAAACATTTTGTATTAAGCTTTATGTAGAGTAGAGCATGTTTCCCTTCATGTTTTTTCTAACACCAACTTTATTCCTGTCCGTCTTGCAGATTCGTGGAGGGCAAGGCTAACATTTGTACTAGCAGCAGATTTTGTGTGACACAATTAGTGAAAGGATTTAAGAATTTGAATACTTTTGCAAGGTTCTGTGAACAGAAATGACCAGGGATTCAGAGAAGAAGAAGAGAGCTCAGAGGAGACATCTTTGTTTTTACCTGTGTTCCTGCAGCTGCTGCTCTAAACTTCGAGGAGTCTCCTTACAGAAAATCTGACAGCTAGCAGGACTGTTTGCCAAGATGTTGGCCTTCTGGGCAAAAAAGAAAAAAAAAAATTGACATTGCAACTAATAATTACGACTATAATCATTGCAAAATGTGATGCTAATCTTCAGTTGTTTTAGGTAGTTTCTTAATTTGCGAATGACGTCAACAACTACTCGGCACAGCAGCGTAATGCTACAGCTGGGCGGCGAGTATAAACATGTGTGAGCTTGTAAAACCGGTCAGTGAGTAATGGTGACTGTACCTGCAGCCTGTGTGTGAGGTACTGTGTTTCCAAACTCTGTCTGCGGGACAGGAGAGGCGGCTGGGCTTCACCTGGGTATAAAGCTAGGCCTTCCTGCTGTTTGCAGGCCTCGCCCTTCAATTAAAAACATAAAGCATTGGAAACAAAAATCCCCACAGATCCTCCCTGCCCACCTCCGTCAAATAATAAACGCGGCGTCAGGGTCTGGACGCTTCGTGTAGCTTCGACGAGTTAGCTTTGCTTTCCCCTGCACAGATGCCTGCGTGGCGACTCATCGGCCTGATGCCTTTCCCTAAATGGTGCGTACCAGAGGGATTTCACATTAGGTAAATGGAATGAAAGCTAATTAAAAGGATGATGGGGCTTCAAGGGTCATAACCAACAAAGAGAAGCTTTATTGCATAATGAACATGGACAAAAAAAATAAACAAACAAGAAAGAAAAAACAAAACAAGGAGATCTTGTTTGTGCTCATTTGGGGTTTTGTTTAGAAGACAGCAACGGTTCCGTTTCTCGGACGGTTCCTGTTTTGTTGTGTGAGTGTGTGTGTGTGTGTGTATAAGTGTGTTTGCCTAGGTTTTTTTTTTTGTGCGTGATTGTAGTTCTTGTCATTTCTATGGGCGAGTCCGACGCATTTCAACAATGGCCGCATTCATTTTGGCCGGGGCTCGGAGCTCCAGGGGGACGGGAGACAGTAAACAAGCCGGAGTTGGCTGCTTCTCCCGGGGTTACACAACAACCCGGCTGCTTGTGTGCGATTATTACTTTTTTACGTACAATATTAAATCAGGAGGGATGCAGGGGTGAATCTGAGAACTGGTTATTGGGGGGGGAAAAAATAAAAATAAAGACACTGTAGAGAACTAACCTCCAGCAGGTTGTGCAAATGATGCTGTGGTCCCAGGAGGCCGGAGACGGCCCCGTCTCCAGAGCCCATCTGCTCCACCAGCATCTGGACTTTGTTCAGCTCTAAGATGCCTTTGGTCCTCGCCAGGTTTTGGAGATGCTGCCGGAACGCCACCAGACCTGAAAGCAGAAACCAAACAGAACGGATTAAAACAATTTTCAATAAGAAAACCTCCAGCATTTTTACAACTCTGAGTCAAATCTCAGCTCAAAACATCCAAGGATTCTGTTAACTTTACTGATGGATAATTTAATACGCAACAACAACAAAAAAATTCTGTAAAATTTCAGAATAAAGAGGTATGACCTGTGTAAGGGTTTGAAATAATGGCTGCTCAAAAGGTAGAAAATAAAATGTCGCAGTAGCTTTTGAAATGTCTCACACTCATCGGATGCAGAGGTAATTGGGAAAGACAAACATGTCTCTATGGTTAGAAACGATCCACAGCCTCCGGCCAAAAAAATAAAAATCAAACACACCTTTCGAAGCGGCAGAATGTGGCTTACATACCGTCTTAATTTCATCACTGATTACATGACTAAAAGATGAACGAACCCGAGTCTAAATCAAGTCTTTGTTTCTATAAACTCAACTGTGACTTGAATCTCCAGCTCTGGCTCCATCCTTTTACAGAAACAGACCTAATCCTCTCTGACGTCAGACTGTGGAGGGTTTGTCGATCTTACTGACACTGGATAGACGTCAGCTGAGTGTGTAATATACACACACGAGTCAGTATGTGTGTGTGTGTGTGTGTGTGTGTGTGTGTGTGTGTGTGTGTGTGAGAAACAGCAAACAGCTCTGATAAGTTCCATCCAGTGGTGACGAACCTGGGCTGTGAACGATGGGACCTGACTCACTGAGATGGTGGGAGTTATTTAAAACCGGAGTCAGCAGTCTGACGCAAAAGAATCCGCAGCATCAACACCCTCCAAAGAAGATTATGGAAAATAAATTAATAACTGCAAACACCAACTGGGAGTGCACACTGCAGCCTGTCAGAGCTAAGCCGGGGAAGATCCATATTTTTAACTCGGAGTAAAATCGGCTCCACTTGGCCTTAATACAGGTGATTTACAACCAGGAGGCACATAATTAAGTGAAAAAATAAAAAAAAGAAACTATTAAAAACTAAAAGGTAAATGGAGGTTGTTTAGCAAACCCCCCTCCTTGTGTTTTGGCTTCTATTTTCCTCTGATGTGCAGAAGAAAAAAAACCTAGAGACTGCAGCTTTTGGAAAGAGAGGGAATAAGCAGCACCGAGACAGAAAGTGAGTTTAAAGGAGAGTGGAGGTATTGGGAGGGAAAGAGGGAAAGAGAGACAGGAATATGTGGGCTGAAACCTTCAAATGTGCATCTGATTCACAAGGTGAATCATCGCCGTTGTCGTCGTCAAGAGAAACCGAGAGGATGAGAGACGGGAAGAGGGAGCAGGGAAAAAATGGCATGTGAAAGAGGAGGGGAGCGACACTCAGACGGTCTAACGACATAAACACATATACATGATTTTAAATGCATATAAAATACACGTGTGTGTCTGAAAGTGTGAAGGGTTGAGGGAGGAGCTGTGGGAGTGTCTTTACGAGGATCAAAGTTCCTCCATCTTCACTTTGAGACTTGAAGAATCAAAGTGAACTCAGTTGCACGTCACGTTGTTCTCCAACAGATTCAGCTCTAGTTCACGGTGAGACGCTTTAAAACTGCAGGAAGCTACAGTCACATTTTGTCCTGTTACCATCACAAACTTTAGCACATCGTTTTGGGATTTTATGCGACAGACCAACACAAAGTTGGGTGTGCATTTGTATTCAATCCCGAGTCAGTACTTTGCACAATCACTCTTTGCTGCTACAGCTGCAGGTCTTCTGTTTGTTGGTGTAAACGTTAAATGAAATACATCAATGTGTGATGCCTGACATGAGAAAATGTGAAAAGTTGCAATACTTTCACAAGGCACTGTGAGCTATCAGAATAAAACTCATTTTCAATTAGATTTAAATCAATCTGGAGAGTAAAAAATAGAGAGGACCTTCCAATTAGTGTTAGCTACCTTGTTTTGCCTTGCAAATTAATACACAAGTGGAAAAATGATCTTTTCTGCAGCTCAGAGAATAAATGGAGGTAAAACCAGCTCCCATAACTTTAATTAGCTGCCTTTAAATCTGGAGTTCACTCTGTACTTGGTTCATTACGATGAGGCAGGTCTGGTTTGTTTAAATAAAGTTCCTTGACACTTTGCTCGATGCTTTCAGCACAATGTAATTAGACGAGCTTTACTCTGTTGAATTTGGTTCGTCTGTATAATTGCTAGGAATGTTTTGCATTATTATGGGATAAAAGAAGGTGAGTCTGACTTTCGTTTCTCAAAAGGGTTGAAAAGGGAGGTGCAAATGTCTTTATTCTTAAGACACCTCCATTTCACTGTTTTATAATCCTTTATATCGTTTTCAATGTTTGCATGTGATTATAGGCAATAAAACACCCTCTGAAGATAAAGATTTTTAAAGCTTCAATATAAACATTCCTTAGGTATGGACACCAAAATTGGTAAATCAGTGAAGGGTTTCAGACTTTCAGAACCAGTTTGGGTCATTTGTAAAACCTACTCACAACCCGAGGACTTAATCCAACCAATTGATTTAGGTGTGCAGGACCAGAGAAAAACTAAAAAAGCAGGACAGTAACCCTTGGAGGACGGGTTTGAGACTTCTGCCTTAAATTAAGGCCTACTTTTAAATCTCAAAAGATTTTCTCATTGTAGAGTAAATGTAGTCTGTCTGCTCGCAAAAAACAAATTGAGGAAATAACTGAACCCTGTTGGCTCTGACCTTGCGTGAGGGAGGTATCGGATGCGCGGCGTCCTTCTCTGAAGCTGATCGGGGAGCGGTTGTGCGTCTCCCGGTGCTGGGATGTCAGGGCAGCCATTGCTGGGTTCGGGGGCCTCGCCATCATGAAAGGCGCAGGGTTGCAGCTGGCGGCGGAGCCGCTGGCCGGTATCACTTCGCTGAGGGACGGGGAGTCCTCCAGCAGGCCGAGGTCACTGTGCGCCGAGCCCATGTCGTAGCCAATATCCGAGTCGACGCTTCCCATGGACGGGTTGTGCCCCAGACTGAACAATTTACCTGAGAAGACGTGTTTTCCAGTGAGATCAGGGATCCTGATGGACACTTTGTTTCTGTTATTAGACGTGAACGTGACGTCAAACCTTGATTTGAAGGTCCTGGCTGGTTGGTGACCTCAGACAGGGTGTGCCGCCGCTGGCCGAATCGAGCCGTCTGATAGGCCGAAAGCAGGTGGGCGGGATCGTCCTCTGCGTCCGGCTCCTCGGTCTCAATGCCCTCATCAATCGATGTCTCCATCATGTTGCTGGGCGACGAGGTAGAGGACTTGCGGAGGACAGCGGTGGGAGGGAGGGGGTCCAGGAGACAGCCGTTCACCTAAGATGGAGAAAGAGAGACGGAAGAATGACTGCACGGCTAAAACTGTAGGCCACAAAACACGGGAACAGAAAAATAAAGGGTTTGAACGAGGCTTAGATAACATCCTGCAAAAGAGTTAATACTTCTTGATCTTTCTCACGTTTTATCAAAGGTTTTATTCTAGGACTGCTGTGTTTAGCTCCATCCATCTTTCCCATCGACTCTGACAAGATGGATGAAGAAACCAATCCCCACAGCATGATGCTGCCACCATCATGTTGAAGGGTGGGGATGGTGTGTTGTGAACACATACCAATTTATAAATCTGCCAAAACATTACATTTCTCTTTCAACAAACCAAAGCACCTGAAGTAAGCTACATGCAGCGCTTACTACACAAAAAACTAATTAAGTAGTTTTAATGTATAAAATATAAGACAACTTATGTTTCAATTAAACAGATCAATATTATTCCCATTGGCTCAATCTAAACATTGTGTGTTAAGGTCATGACCTTCCTGCTCAAATTAAGTGTTTAAACACAACATAAATTTGAAACCAGAAACTTACGTACACCTCCTAGTAAGACAACAATTTCTTTTTTCTCAGTCTGAAGTTAAATTAGATCAAACGTCTCTTGTTTTAGGTCAGTTAAAAATATCTAAATTACTTCTATTTGCTAAATGCCAGAAAACTTAAAAAAATATTTAAAACTTCTTTTTGTAACTTTTGTGTCAATTGTAAATAATGTTTTCAAATGTTATTAAAACATTAGATGAGATTTATTGCAAAACTGCACAGTTTGAATATGAAGAATTTTCCAAACCTTGAGAACATCTAATTGAAACTCAAGTATTTTCAAGGATTTCCAGAACCCATTTGAACCCTGCAGTTTCACAGGGTTCAAATGGATACCAAGAAATCCTCTGGGTTTCTTAGTAGGTTTGCAGTTGTTCACATGATGGACTGAACTATGCGCCTCAAGATCTTTTTAGATTTGCATCTGCAAAACAAAAAAAGTGAATACAAGTATCACAATACAAGTAATAAAAATTGCATTGAGCTTTTTGGTAGTTAATGTGATAAAACATGAAACAGTTCAAGGGTTATGAGTAATTTTGAAAGCCAGTATGCAGTCACACACATAGATCATCTGTATTGACTGCTGCAGTAACAACAAAGCCTGGTGTTGATCTAGAAAGAGCAGCTTTGCCCAGATCCACATATGCTTTCTTTAGTGTCGAGATAGGAATGCTGTTATCTACCAGACGCACGTCGAATAAAAAACACATTGAGAGCTGAGACACAAAGAAGCGGCAGGTCAAGGGGATACAGAGGTGAAACGATCGAAAGGAGTGGAGAAGGACGAAACTGAATGAAAAGAGAGGGGGGCAGTTAAAAAAAGAAACAGGAGGAGGAAGATTGCCCAATGGCGAGGAAGAAAAAAAACGATTTGTTGGCTGAGGGGCGGGAAGTCTGGGCGGCGAGATCGCGGAGGGTAGCGCAGCGGCTTCCTGTCCATGTGTGTTCACTCGGCTCCGCATTAGGTCACATCATCATCACAGGACCGCTTACATAACCAGACTCTATTCACGCAGATAACATGCCCCCTTACTTACTGCTTCGTTCTGCTTACCAAACACACACACACACACACACACACACACACACACACAGGCGGAGCGACTTACAATTCATTCTTTACTGAAGCTGTGAAAAGGGGGGTAAGATGGAAAAGAAAGCTTTAACTGAGCATTCGGTGCAAGCCTGAAGGTGTGTGGAACCGTCACGACAGATGAACTGTGTCTATGTTCTGTAACAGGAGGTCAGGGAAACAGCAGGCCTGGAGGTAAAGGTCGCTGATTGGCATTGATGAAAAGGAGAGCACAGTGTGTGTGGAGCCATGCAGGACAGGCAGCTGTCCTGTCTGATGTGAATGTGGCTGAGTGCTTACATAAGAGGACATGTCAGCTGCACTCAGGCAGGTCGACGCTCCAAACCTCAAAGGAGTCTGGCGCGCGCGCACGCACGCACACGCACACACACACACACACACACACACACACACAAGTCTGGTTCACCCCGGGTGAACACAGCTATCAAAATAAGTCACAAGCTGATACTGACTGTTCTAACTAATACTTAAAAACAAGTGTGAATTAGGCGTGACATGGAGGCAGAGACACCAACAGAAACACGCCCTCATGCACCATCTTGGACCTACTTTGGGCGTGCTGATGTCCTCCACCATGAAGTTCTGCTCCAGAGGAGACACCGTCTGGGGGAAGCTGCAGGCGTCGGAGGTGGATTGGGGAACGGTGGGGGGACGCAACAAGCGTACGCCCTGCAGTGGCAGCCCCACCTGTGCTGAACCGCTGGTGGACTGTGAGGTGGAAGAAATGCAAAGACAGAAAGATGTGTCAGTAATGTTAACAATTTTTATAACACTAAGCTAAATCGGGACTGCTGCTCAAAAAGCAGGAGAAATATAGTAATATAGGAATCACACATGCTTTAATAAAAGTTACTCTAACTACAGATGTCAGAATGATCAGATAATTAAAGCAGATTTTGACTTAATGACGGTTACCTGTGGTGTACCACAAGGTTCTGTGCTCAACCCTAAACTTTTTATATCGATCAAAAATGGAAATTTACCAATCGGCCACAGATTGAACAGATTGAGCACCACCAAAATCAGGCTAAGAACTAATGCATCACAACAGCGATTTATAATTCCCTCATTTTCTCTGGGACTTCAACCTCAACCAAACAACCTGTAGCACATTTTTCTCTCGTTAAAGGTATTCATAAATAAAACAAAAACAAAATCAGCAGGTCAGACGACAAAGAAAACTGGAAAAAGCCTGATCAGTGATAAAATATATTTGTAATGGATCACAGTCTAAAGTTCGTTTTATGTGCTGATGATACAACTTAAAACTAATTAAGCAAAGGTTTGCCATGAAATCTCAAAGCAGAGGAAAGAGACGTGATAGATTTAAAGAAAGGCACTAATTTAGAGAATAATGACGTTTTTTAGTAATAGACAATTTAAATAAATCATTAGCCTTGTGGTAAATGTTAATGAAACTTGAAGAGAAACCAAATTTGTGGCCATAAACAATTTTGACAGCCTCATATAAATCTCTATTCATGCTACAATTCTCCTCAGTAGTTCCGCATGTAATTTACAGCCAGGAAGTATAGGGTAATACACATAAAACCACTGCCGTAGATTTAATGTTAAAGGTTCATACAGAGAAGAACTGCATCCTAAACGGTGAGGCAAATTAAAGACAAGTTTCCCTGGGATTTGAGAAGTGTTCACAGACGGCAAAATAATGAATAATGTAACCGAGGGTAACGCATTAAGATCAAGGCTGAGCGAGAGAGAGCACAGAAGAGATGGATAAATAAATTATTGGGCCGTCTCTGTCCATTTGTTCCAGGGTGCAGGTGTGAATAACGCAGCTTTGATCAGAGAGGCAGGGATACTAATCAGCACGCATTATTCAGATGCTCCGAAGCTCTGCCGTTACCTTGATGACGGTTTGTTCAGCGATGGTGCTGGGGCGCCGCTGGCGAGCGTCGAGCCTCTGTTCAACAGGGAAGCTGCAGCGATGTGCCTTGAGCCGCTCCACCAGCAGGTAGTAAATAGCAGCAAAGTGGTTGTAGCTTTTGTTCTGCAGAGACTGGAGGATGACAGACAGGATAAGCGCTGGAGTCTGCATCTGAAGTTCATTCAAGTTCACACTCCTGTTTTCTTTTTGTTTTTTTTTTAAAGATGACTTAAATGTGACAGCTTCTAAGATCTGATGAGATTATTCTTTAATCATCCCCGTGTGAAACTGGGTTATTGCAGAAGATGGAGAGCAGAGGGTAGATAAAAATACAGCCCACAGACTGTGTGTTAAAGGAGCATGATGAAAAACCCAGAGTATGCATAAATTACAGTCTGGACAGAACAGACTGAGAACAGCATGCAGGTTCAGATAATCCCGACAGATTAGACAGTCAGTTGCTTGGTGCAGAATAATTCAGACTGTAATTCAGTGATCTTCGCACCATTCTTCCTATTTTTATATTATTACATTTTTCCTTGAGCTTGTGCATTTCTCCTACCATGTACTTTGGTTTCAATGAGCGGCTCTCGTCAGCCAGAAATCCCACCATAATACTACCTCCTCCGTGCTTAAAAACATGTTTGGTACGCATTGGATCGTAAGTTGTCTCTTTCTTCAATTTTGCCAAGTTAAAAATAATTTTGGTTTAGAGGCAAAATCTTCCACAAACTGTCCAAATATCAACAAATTACATAAAAATACCAATTATGTCAACATTATTTGCTGGAACAAAAGTGAAATAAACTGTTATTGTGACAAAAAATGTCTAAGTTTTAAAATTGTAGCAGTTAATTTTTTACATTGATGTAAAAAAAAGTAGGTTCTTAAAATGATGACTGGTTGACGCTCCAAAGGGTCTGAAAGCTGTTTTTAGTCTGAATCGTAAAGCTCACACTCCCGGGCTGATATAATATTAAAAAACCACCATAATCACAATTATTTTTGGTCAATATTGATAACATGGTTTAGTCATTGCACATGAATTTTCACTATTTCCACTATGCAGGTTCAGTCAGTGTTTTTGTGTCGTTTCTTACATCTGTGTTCTGAGCTAAAGCATCCATCCATGACAGCAGTGCACCTAACTCTACAATCATGTTTCTGGCTGAGCAAAAATGATCAGTTCACTTACAATAATCATGCAATCCATTACTTGCATAAACATTGATTTATAACAGTTATAAAAAAAAATACACTGATAAGATTAGGAATTTTTTTTAATCTTTAATTTTACAGATATAATGAGAAAAAAAAACACAATCGGGTAAAGTTTTCAACTTTTATAAAATTGTTGGAAATAAAGTGACTGCGCTGCATCAACGTATGCAGAGCGACGCAGCTCACGCCTGGCCCTTCCTTACCTCTATGGTCTTGTGTTGATCGATGCCGAGGCTGTGCATGAGGCGGAGGACCTGCTCGCTGTACTCTCCGACGCCGACCTCGCCCTCTGCAGACAGCGGCTGCTGGTACAGAACCGGCCTCTGCACAGGAACATCCAGAGCCATCCACTTGTGCTCCTTGATCTGGGCCAAAGACAGACGCTTGGACGGGTCCAGCACCAGCATCCTGCGGATCAGGTGCTCACAGTCTAAAAGAAGGGGATCGAGGAATCATAAGGAGCACAAAAAGTTTTTCTGTATTTTAAGACCAGTGCATTATCAAATGAAAGAACCATTTTTACAAGTCATGATAAACGGGAATAAATGCCACAAGCAGCCCTGATGAAGTGAGGTGAAAATGAGGGTTCAAGAAAAACCGGCTGTATTCTTGTCTTAGTTGCTCTCAGGATTTTCCACCTTCCTTCCCTCCTAATGAGAGCTCCTCACCTCCAGTTGGTGGCTTGATGAGTTTGACGTCAGACACAGCTGGGCTGTTAACAGGATTACGGTTCCCTTGGCTGCACCCTGCATTCCCGCCTGCCACTCAGCATCTTTCCAACATTTACTCCACTATTCTTGTCTTGAATCAGAACCGGTGGACTCATAAGTAAAATCGCTGCAATCATTCTTCCGCTTGCCAAGTCTTATTTGCATCAGTTGGAATATATATATATATATATATATATATATAGATTTTTTTATTGTAATGCATCTGAAAACCTCACAACAACTTAAGATTACTGGATATGTCATTTGTTAGAAACACCTTTAAGATTATGCTCTTCAAGACATTAACATGTACAATTTATTCTGCAGCATTATTCTACACACGTGAATGCTAAAAATTTCAACATAGAAATTCTTGGACACTTTTCGTTTTTAATCATCCAAATGTCCAATGAAACAAGATGAGGCTGGAGTTTGCATCTTATCGAGTGATTTCTAGGCATCTGGACCAACTTAGAGGAGCTCCGTTTCAAAAACTACTAAAAACACTTCCCCTCTGATGTGCTATTTCTCAGGAAGGCCAGAATAAAATTATTTTCAAGCTGTTCTCATGTTTTATATCATCTTGCTGAAGTAGAAACTGAATTTGACTGTAATCTGCATTGTCAGGTTAAAGGTCACAAACTGACTTTATAATTCTTTAGATAAGTGCATCTCTACTTTGAAACTGTTACACTGTTAGATTGTCCAACATTTAACTAGATGCAGATTTAGACATGCAGTTTATGACCCTTGTATAAAGTTATATAGAGTAAAATAAGCAGTTCGATGGCCCAGTTTTTGATTTTTGAGCGAGTTTACATTCCAGGAAGCAACTGATTGCTGTGTGATGTGCTAAAAGTAAAATAAAATATAATTTAAATATACAACTAGTGTAAAAGAAGAAGCATTGCATAATTAGAAATGTATTCATTATTTGTCTTGGAAAATATGAAGAAAAGCTGCTTTACATAGCAAACTTCAGGCCAGTTTCCAAACTTACAGTATTCCCTAAATTCAGACTTTAAGACTATTTGTTGATTGCAATTTCAAGATATTTAACCTATGCAACCTTTTTTTGGATCTTTTTTTAAGTAAGGATCAGGCCATGAATCCCATCTTCCACATTAGAAAGCCCAAGGACCTGCTGGCCCACATTAACTCCCTGTTGCAGATTCTCCTCATTCAACCTGCTGATCTACTAAGGTCTGCAATCAACCCGTGTTTTCCACCTCGGTAGTTCAGCCAAGTTAAATTTATCCTCCCACTTGACGCATAAACAGTGTGACCTTCACTCCAGTTTTACATTAAACTCCCGCCTTTCAGATGATTATCAATTGCGACCTGCTTTAAAACAAATTCACAGCGTTATATTTGTTTGACCCAGAAAGCACCTGACTTTGCTGCAGCCACGTTTGAGGCGACAGTTAATGCCAGAGCTTTTGCTTCACCCAAGGGCAGGTAAAACTGCAAACTTGTTGCCACTGAAAAACCACAGGGCTGCATGGCTGATTGACTGATGCGCCATTCTTAGATGGAACATCGCACCATCATGACCTAACCACAAAGCCATCCAATTTAACACTTGAATGCCCGAGTGGGACAGAGCTGCAGTGAGGGGAGACGAAAAGGGAGGCAAAACCAACATGTTGTCCAGGTAAAAAGCTTCCAGGATTCTCAGGTCTTCACATTCATTTTGTAACTTAAAACTATTGAAGCTCTTTGTAAACTTAGGGTAGACACATATGTACAGTGGATGAAAAGAATGAAGGAACAAAGAAGAAGACAGGACTTAAGGATGGAAAGGAAAAAAATGAATGAAATACAAGGAGGGACAAAGGAAGGAAAGACTGAAGTGAGGACGGAATAAAAAAGGGAGAGAGTAGGAAAGAACTCAAGGACAAAATGATGTACACAAGGAAGGAAAAAAAGAGAGAAGGAAGGACACAACATTTACATAATGAGAAAGAGGCTTTAGTCTGGAAATACAAATGTTTCTCCATACTCTTATTTTCTTTTTCCATACTTATCCACACCTGGAAAGGATTGCAATTAAATTCCAGACTGTGTAGGAATCTTGCTAGTGTTGGTTGCATTTAAAACACGTTAATGATCTTCAACTAACACATTAATGCTAAGTACTCAAAGGTCCTGTTCAGCAAAGCAGACGTGTGGTTGACAAGTCCTCTGTATTCGCATAGCTCTGATGTGTTCTGGTGCGAGTTTACAGCACCAAGCTGCACCGCACACCATGGCGTTAGTCAGAGACAGCAAAACAAGATGGACTGTTTCTGGATGAAGTAATCAGCACACTCTGTTCCCCTCTGTTCAGGGAACGGGGGGTTGGACTGAGGGTAAGAAGGCGGGTTTGAGTTTCAATTTGGCCCATGAGGTGAGATTTTCACTCCTACATTCCCCTCCATGTCTTGAAAGAAGCAGAACAGAAAGAAAAAGTCCCTACTGGCGACGCCAGCCTCTCGGATCAGACACAAGGGAACTCGGACGGACAGGAAGACGTCTCACGGGACGGGAGGGTGACTCAAAAAAAAAAAAAAACACGCAAAGTCTCCTGTGAGTTGCTGGAGGGCTTCACTGGCTCTTCCCCACGTTACATAAACAGCTCCGGCTCTGGACTTAATCTGCAGCCAGCGAGCTAGCACAGCCGTTAACAGCAGGGCTGTTCTGAGACAGCCTGACTCACTGCGAGGCCGGCACGCACACATAACCCCGTACTGAATCCCCCTTCAAATTAATGTAACAAAACATCCTCCTGACTACTGTAGCTGAAAGACGGAACTATTCCTTGACTTCATGCTGCATTTCCAGTCTCTACTACAGACATTTTCTCCTGCCTCCCAGAATATGTCAGCTGTTGCTTCTCACCTTCAGTCATGAAGTAGGGAATTCGAAACCTTCCTTCGAGGACTCTCTGTCGCAGCACGGGCAGAGTGGGCCCATCGAATGGCAAAGCACCACAAACCAGCACATACAGCACCACCCCCATGCTCTGCAAAACAAGACGGAACAAGATGAACAACCAGGAGGATCAAACAGAGATATGAGGAATTGAAATCCTCTTAGCATTGTTTACACCTCAGAAAACAAATTTTAATCTGCGTACATTTATTAAAGATGGGTGAGAAATCCTTTATTGACAAATGTCTTTAAAAAACCAGTGACAGACCGGTGCCGTTGCAGGTAATACTTTGGCCAACATGAAAAGAACGTAGGAATTAGTTATGGGGACTGACAACATCGTGGGAAGTGACTGTGTTCAGTGAATCACTGCTGTCTTGATTTGTTCACTTGCTTAGGATCATTAGCCCTTTTAAAAAAAACTAATGATGACACACATTTTCAGTTTTCTTGTGCAGGCCATCAGGTTTTTACATAAAAAAAAAAAGTTTGTAATGTTTACAGTGGTGTGGCCTCTAATAAAATTTTGAATGATTTGTTTTTAAGATCAACAGGCCCACAGCATTACAGAGCCACCACTTCACTTAACAGAAGGCCTTGAGATACTTTTCCCCAATATTCATCTTCTGTTTTTCACCAAAACCAACATCAAATGTGAGTTGCTGAAGAACTCAAGTCCCATCTGACTAAAGCAAAAGCAACAGTAGAGAGAAGATGTTTACATTTGTGATGGTAGGTCAGAAAATGACCATTTCTGCTTCATGAATAACTGGTTGCCATGAAGATAGATGGAACAACCTTCTCACCATGCAGGGTGACGAGATGAACACGAGTTCAACCTTAATTCTAGTTATTTGAAATTGTACTTATTGCAGAGGGTGGGTAAAGTAAAACCTGCAACCTTTCACTAACTGATCACTGAACATCTTGTTTACTTGAAAATGGATGTTCTCTTGTGTTTTCCCATTTTAAAACCGTGGGCCTCTTTATCACGTCATTTTAAAAATGATGGTAAGCAGGAAAACGTTACTTAACCGTACGACCTTTGACCCTACAGACAATTAACTAAAGTAAAATCAGTTAGCTCAGATCTGTTTATGCAAGACTTTCTGACCTTTCAATAATTGTGCCACAAAGGATTCTGTTAACTTTTGAAAGATGGGATTTTTTTTTTTTTCACAGAATGAATAAATGTAACACTACAGACCGGGTTTTATTTTTGTTATTTTCACAGGATACATTTATCAAAATTATTTTAACACACATTTAAAATAAAAAAAAAACAAACAAACATTAAAAACATTCAATATATCAATTCTCCAAGTCAGCTGAGATTTTTGATAAACTAAAGAAGTAGAGAGCAAAGTGACACCACCATCTTCTGTTATGTAATCTGTCATCTCACCCAGATGTCCAGCTGCGGTCCCTCATACTGCTGTCCCTCAAAGACTTCTGGGGCAGCATAAGGCGGGCTGCCGCACCATGTGGCCAGAGGCTCCCCTGGCTGGAAGAAGTTCGCAAACCCAAAATCTAAAAAAGAGGTCAAAGAGCAACGTTAAGAAGATTAGAGATCATTTCAAAACACCCGCATTTAGTCGATACTGCAACAAATAAAGTGGAGAAAAAAAAAGTTTTGCCTTGTAAGAAGATGAAGCACCTCGAACATCTATTGCAAAAACCAACATGCAGAACAAAGTTGCTTAAACATCAAGTATCTGTGAGGAGGTTTTGCGTAATGCAGTTTGCAATCCACATTTTTGCACATTGAGGAAATGGGCCTTTGTATGAGGCAACCTCCCCTTGAGACTGACATTAGGTCACTCATATGGGCTTCTATTGGTTGTGTGCAGAATGAATCAAACTTTGATTTTCATCTCAACAGGGATGAGCCGTTGGGAACCATTACAAACATACTATTAAAGTCATGTCTGCCTTTTAATAAAATCCCTCTGCACCGACATTGGAACGTGAAATCATTCAAGCAAAGCATCCGTCATCTTTTTGTCAGATTTTGCTCTTTTGTATTTTTTCTCTTATTTATGCAAATTACATATTCTATAGACCTGTTCTCATTAATAATATAATTAATCCCTTTTAACAGACACAGCTAGTTGTATTTTATGATTTATGACACCTAGCATAAAAAGAGAGACAAAAACCCCTTGCTTAGCAATCCATTATCAATGGAAGCTGTCAGGGGACCAGACATGTGCACTTTAGTTTCCACCCCCTCTGTTTTTTCCATAATCTACACCAGTTACATAAACAGAAAAATGCACTGCAAAACAAATAAATAACAGATTAAAAAAAGAACAAATCTGCCTTACATAATGGGGTTAGAGGTGGTGTGGGTTCATGCTCAATATGCAACGTTATAGTCTGAGACAGCATGTTTAATCTAATGTGGGGATCTGTAGATATAAAACTCATCCCCAAAGACATTTACTGTCTTTCATAATCTCTTCCTCTTCCGAGTTCAAACAAACAAAATAAAAAAAAATAAAAAAAAAATATATATATATATATATATATATATATATATTTTTTTTTAAGTTTGAAAGGGGATGATAGCAATAAATCCGGATTGCAAACCTTTTCTTTCCCGGAAAAGACGCAGAAGGTTCAAGAACAAATACATGTAAGAATCCGATTTGAGAGATTATCAAACTGCTGCAGACAAGAGTCAAATCAGAGCATTTAGCGATTGCAATGCAGGTGGCACCAGGTGCGACATGAAGGGGGAAAGTAGTGCGACATGTTGGGGTTTTACTACAGATATGCTGACAGTCAGATGCTGCTGCAGAGGTGAGCCGGGAGATGAAGGCAGAGCGGAGAGCTGCAGCTGGTTTATCGTCAGAAGCTGTGACCCATTTCATGGAGCTGAATACTGAGCAGACGAGTTGACGTCAAACACTCGCTGTAGGCTACCAACAGCAGTCTCAGCTCTACGGGAAGGGTGGGTGGTAGCTGGGGCGGGTGGAGGAGAGGAGGGGTGTCTTGGTGTTGAACACAGCAGCATTAGCATAATATCAGACAGGTTGCACTGGAAATATAGTTCACTTTACATCATATGCTGCTGATACAGGCCAGGTTACTGAAGTTGTAGATTTAATTACAGTGAGTTTGGACGGCAGTGGACCGTAGTAACTGCATTAACAACAGGTTGTCCTTTTTCTCCTCACATTGGTGAAATACCTATAACTTTAGCCACTTCCTCTCCCGACTCATCCTACAGATTCCCTGTTTCAAACCGCAGTGCTTCTCCCTAGATGCACGTTAGCAGATTTAAATCAGCTTCAGGCCTGTTCCTGACATGGACATAAAACCGTCTACTGTAGCAGCGGGGTTTTATAATCAGTATGCATCCAGCACCACATGAAAACTGTAGCGCAAAACAGATGAAAAGCAAGAAACGGCACTTTGGAAAAATAAAAAACAGATTTATTGTGTGTTTGCTGGATGAATTTGAAGAATTCTTCTTTGTTTTTGAAAACTATGTTTGTGTAAAAGATTAAACCCTATGCATGGGTCTAGACTAACGGTAAGTTTTTTGTACAGATGATTTAATTTTTTTTTAGCACTTTATACTTTTGGAACAGCCTTTTAAACACAGGACAGCTGACAGGTTTTTATTCGATCTATGGTGCTTTTTCACTTATTTTAGGCAAATCACAAACCGAGAAGCTCCTATTAGACTATTTTTCAATACCATTTTTTTTTTTTTCAAATAGTGACTTTTTTCTCTCAAAGAGACTAAAACATGGAGAAAGTACTACAAAATCAAAACAAGTGGAACTTTTCTGACACCAAAAAATGTAAATACTTCAAAATCTAAACAACCCAAAAGCCAAATTAAAATTTACCCATGTTATAAAAAAGATATTGCAAAACACGAAGAAGAGATGCTAATGAGCCATTTCTTTCCTACATTTAAGTAAAAATAATCAGCAGATAAAAGTTGTTTAAAAACTGAAGACCATAACCGACTCTTGCGTAAAAGTTTCACTTTACTAATCTCAATTAAAAAAGACAGAGTGGCTTTAACATGATTAATTTCTTTTTCCCACCACTGCAGTAATAAAATACGAAAACGCAGACGAATTATTTTTGTTGACGTGCAGCGGTGAATGTTTGCAGTGTCCACATCTCCTAACTGGCCATGAAAAATACCTGGAGGGTTTAGGGCTCCGTCAACAACATTCATGTATGGATGGTTTCAAATTAGAAGAATTAAATGAGATTTAATGCGGCTATAAAGGTCGGCGTGTGGCAGAGTGTTAATGAGGTGTTATTTTTTATTCATCATGTGAACCTAAAAAATTACAAGCTGACCATTTTGTTACTCCTAAGGGATGAATATTAGATAGTTGCAAATTAGACAGTTAAAAAAAAACACACCATGTAATGATAATGATTTATTAAACAGCTATTTCTTCTAATCCTCTTTACTCAATCATTTCCCCACTTCTTTTTCCATCGCCTTCAATCTGTCAACCTGACCCAAAAGGGGATGTTTGAAGTGAAAACATCAAGGGCACTCCCTGCTGCTACCATTGCGCTCTGCTCTGCAGCTGCCATGACTATGACCTTTCCTCTGACTGACCACCAGTTAAGCTTCATACAGATGGACCAGAGGTGGCCTTTAGAAAGACCGGAGGCTTGGCAGGGCTGCAGAGCTCGAAATCCAGAAGCACTGGCGCTCAAGACAAGACAAAACTTATTCGATATTGTACTGGGTCCAAATAATGAAAGCCAGAACTGAAAGGAAGTAGCTCGGAGGATAAACGTGTGCAGCCACCCACAGCACGAATCCGACATATCGACTGTGCAAACCACCAACTCGACTTGTGATCGCAGAAAAAGCACCAAATGTACAATCTCCTGTTGCTCCAGACATGCTTTGTCTCATCATGAGTCAGGTAATGTTCTGTTCATGGTTTTGCTGCTTCAAATTTAATCTACTATGCAGGAAAGATAAGCTGTGAGCTAGGCATGTTTGGGAAAATTATTGCTGTGGTAAATTACGTATTCAGTTTTTCATCCACAAGAAAACACACACAAAACAAAACAGTTGAAAAGAATAAAAATAAAGACTGAATCAAATTACATAGCTGAAATGCTCATCGGTAAAGAAAGCTCCGGTTAACCTCGCTATTCCAGTTAGAAGAACTAAAAGGCACTGAGGTCTGACATGTACATAGGGTGACTAGCAAAGCAAATTCCTGTTTCACTCTTATTGGTCCCAGTTGTTTTCCTTCAGGGAAAGACACAACTTGGCTGAAATCATTCAAGAACAAAAGTCATTTTCTCTGGGTTACATGAAGTTACACAGAGTCTGATGTCCTGACATCTATATTTTTACCCACTTTTATGGGTTTGGCTCTCTGCATTGGATTATAATTTCTTAGCTGCAGTCCTTTGCTCTTTCTCCAAAGTGGTCAACTAGTCAGTCGACAGGTGGTCATATGTTTGAAAAGTGAAACAGAAATGTGAATTGTTGATACATGAATGTTATTTTATGGTTATGTTATGGCTAATACAATCAGGGGTGGAAAAACATGTCATCATGTTAGGCAATGTTGTGAGAACAATCATGACTTGATAAGAAAAAAAAAAATCAAACAGCCGGTCAGTGTTAATGTCTTTCTGCTTTGGGCTAATGGCAAATAGCTTCCAGATCATGTGTGGTCCACCACAGCTATAAAATGCATTATTTTTATCTGAACAAGGTTTTATTGAAATCAGGCTTTCTGGCATCTAGAACAATTTTACACTACTTCAAGCAACAACTCTTACCACTTTGTATGTATAAAAGCATGAATGCATGGGAAAAGTTAGCCAACAGTGATTGCAGTAATGCTGCGATGGCGATAAATTTTAAATGTATTGTGCAGCCCTAATTAGGGGACAACAGCTTGCTGGTGAAGATGGCAGCTCATGGCTCTTTTTCCAAGCCATATTAATGCAAAGTTTAACAGAAGGAAAAAGTATGGTGGAAAATTATGCGCAGCCCAGTAATGAATGCATATAATGTACATTTCTGTTTAGTAAATAACAATATTGTGACTTATTATTCTAATTCTCTAAGAAGCTGTGTTAGTTATAGGCTATGTTCATCAACAATGTAGTGAATTGAACCTACATGTTTAACTTTTTTTTAGTAACTGAATAAGTGAAATTAATCAATTAAATTTTTAATAATATCACAATTATTCAAAATGCAAGTGTAGCTTTAAATGCTGCTTGTTTACTAACGCAATATGTTGTTTATGTGCTGTTGTTGTGCATCATATATTTGTTCTTTTTTTATGTCTGTGGACCATGAGTCTGTTGAATAAATCATTTAATCAGAACAAGCTTTTGAATTCTTCCAGCCAGAGCTCATATCACAGGAGACATTTATAAATACTTACATAAACACATACATACATACATGTATATGTATATATTACACAACTCCGTACTGTGATCTTAAAGTACCTGCAATCTTGATGTTCATGTGGCCGTCCAGCAGCAGGTTCTCTGCCTTCAGGTCTCTGTGGACGATGTTTCGGTTGTGACAGTACTCGACTGCAGACAGGATCTGCCAGAACTTTCTCCTTGCCTCCAGCTCGCTGAGACGGCCGTGCTTTGCCAGGTAGTCTGCAGCCAGAGGAACAGACATTGGAAAAAATGTGACGCGTCATGTTAGAAACCCATGCAGATGGTATTTTTGCACCAGTTGCATAACATTAGTCCCCACTAGGCCTTTCAAACACAGAATAAAGTACAACTCCAAAGCCAAAAATTACACTTCAAAGTGGGTTTTTTTTTTATTCTGCTTTGTCATTAAAGTTATTACGAGGATGGTTTACTGTGAAGGTAATCCTAGGCTGTGTGATTTGTTTTTATTGTTTAGGTCTCCTGCTCTAATTGTGTGTTGGGTGCATGTTTGAGTAGGCAGAGTGCCACGTTTACACATGCACACAGCTAATACAAGTATGAACGAATATTTTTGTCCTGGGAGTAATAAAATCATTTGATTTATTTATCTACTGAACACAGAGCAGCAGAAATCTAGTTTGCAGCTGATTAGAAAACCACACAGTCGATTCTGTTCCCATGGGGTAGGAGAAATACATTTTTACCATTTTCTTTTTCCAAGGGTTCATATCCCTGACCTCGACCACTTGTTCTCCTCCTGCTCTGATTGTTTTACTAACCACTTACATATACATAGTAAACTTGGTTTTGTTTATTTAGTTAGTTTTTTCTTTTTACAAATAAGAACTAACAGACTGTTCAGTGGGATGCACCGATTTCAACAGCTCTGTGAACTTTGACAAGTGTGGCGTTTGTTGTTGTCGGCGGGGTTCATCTTCACACTTCTCTGTCTAGATGGCTTGCAAGCTCTTCCATTCACACTTAGCAGCAAACAAGACAGGACACTCTGCACTGGCTTTCTGTCAGTCTGGCACGGACCCAGACTACTGAGCAACCCTCAAAACAATGCAACACAACCACAACAAAGTGCATTAAAAAAAGGAAATCTAATTTCAGAAAAAAAACAAAAACAGAAGCATAAAAACTACACTAAAAAATGCCTTTAATGCTTGTGGTTCAAGTGTCACAGCAGCATACCAGATCGTTTCTCCTCTAGAACTAAATTAAAGATGTTAAAGCAACACTTGTTCTGCTGCCTCAGTCACTAAGCACCTCCTGTGTTCTGCATTTCCTCAGTTGAAAGTTCAGCAAAGAGTTACGACAAGAGTTGTTACAACAAACTCTAAACACTAAAATGACTTCAGGCTCAAAGCTCCAACATTATACATTAAAGATGCACTTGTCAAACTTTTACCAATACCAATTTGTGCTTCTTTTAAGGCCCGACTCTTCGACTCCGATTCACTCTAAAAAGTAGAACTCATTTAAACTAATTGGTTTAAACTAAAGTTAATGTAAAATTTAAAATAAATGTGCTGCAGGTTCTTTGGTGGAGATGGTAGTTTTGAGTCCAAAACTAAGGGATTGCCAGATTATTCCTATTCGTGTAACAAATAATTTCATGTTAAACTTGATCTGTTATTTACCGAAATCTAACATCCTGACTGTTTATGTCATGGGTCTCTAAAGTGTAACCCTTAGAGGGCATTGAGATTTATTTTGTGGGGCCCACAACCACAGTCTAAGAATGGTACAAGTTGGATGCTGATGGTTACTTTCTTTTTTATTACTTTTTGTAAGGCTGCCTGGTCTTCCAAAAGTTGCAGACAATTCTTAAAATGGGACAATATTAAAGTATTATCTTTTGTTTACCACATTTTCTCCTTTTATTCCAAAGTCAAGTTGAATAAAACCAAAGACGAACGGCGACTGTTGCTCCACGTAGACTTTGGCACATCCAATCATGAAACGTCAACAAGCCTTTTTAAAGAAAAGAAATGAGCGATTGCTGGAAAGTAATGGTAAATGTTTATCTCAGCTGGGCTTCCTGAGATAGACATCTTTCTTCCATTAACTGATTAATTTTAATGGCACTGTACTATTATTAGCATTAAAAGTGACCATTTGTACAATCTGAATGCATTTTTTAGAAATTGCATTAATCTGAACAGAATTTGGACTTAACTTGATTCTGTCATGAGATGTTTGTTGTAATTCGGCCCTGGATTCAAACGGAAAGGTTGATAAATAGCCGCCATCCGACAGACTGGAAACATTATTAGACTGATTATATCGGAGCTGGTGAATTTCATAGATGGGATCTTCAGTGACCACAGCAGGTTTCAAGCAACACTGCTAATCAAAAAACACACGGTGGAGAGGAATGTGTCGGGAATGTCCGAAAATGTTCCCGGATCAGCCACACGACTCTGAAAGTGCAACAATTTAATGATCAAACAGGGCTTCAATAATTATATACAAGACCGTCTTGATCGCACTCTGAATAAATTGTGATCCAAGTGAACATGCGTCTCACGGCTTTAAGGTAATGCTTCATTTAGGTGTTTCTCTAATTGCTTTAAAAACTCCCAGCTGCTATAGCGGGCATATTCATATTTGTCCCTAAACAGATTATTTGTTTTTGGCAATAATAACTATAACTGAGGATAAAATGAGTTGGAGCAGAAACTCTATGAAAAAAAAAAATCCACCTATCGAAGATGACGACACAAGTAAGCGATTGCAGATTAAGTTTCACCTGTTTATGATCCTAATAAAAAAGTTTGCACAATCTCAATTTACACCGAAAATTGTGTTTTATTCTGGACCATTGAGCCACTCCCAGTTACTGCTCTGCTTCTGCCAGCCATCAAAAAAGGTTTTAGATGCATACAGGACATTTCCAAGCTTACTTACCAGGTCAAGATGGGAAAAGAGTTATAAATCAAATTAACAAAATCACAACAATTTTCTTCCTGAAAGCCTAGTTTGTTTGTTTTTTATTCTTCTTTATTCTCCAAACGAATTATAGATCCGACTGCAGATAAAAGAAAATGGGTAAATTTGACCAAGTGGTTATATTTTGAATTCTAGAGAGCAACAAAAATACATCTTGCTTGGATGGACTGTTCTCTTGCCTTTCCCATTTTGAAGAGTGGCATAGACGTATTCATATCCCAGATTAACCAAATCTTTAACCTCGCCACTCTTAAGTCACTCAGAGTAACTTAAGAAAATACATACTTAAAAATGGTTCAGTTGTATATAGAACTGCATTGATTATCATTATTTACTGCCATATAAATGTCTAAATTATATAGTTTACATAGTGATTTTATACTTCATCAATAAAGAAAATGTCCTATATTTTGTAGGCAAAGGTGGAGCCTAAATCTAATTTCTAAACCATGATATGAAAAAACAAAAAGCTTCTAAACAGGATATTTTTGCCTCAAAGAAAATGTCAGAACTCAAAAATAACTGGATGAGACTTATGGTCAACAAGTCTGTTTCTTTAGGACAAAACTGTCACAAAAAGTGATCTTTGATGATTTTAAATAATCTAAGAAATTCTGTTTCAGTTGTTTAAAAACAAAAAAAACCTGACATCTGTTAAATCCCTTTTCATCGACTGCAGATTTTTAACACTGCAGCTTTTACGTCATGCCTGAGCTCTGCAAGAACGAGAAGCAGCTTTGTGTTGCCAACGGCAAACCATTACAACTCGGGTGATCAACACACGCAGGACGCAAGATGTCACTCTGGTTGATCGATGAGTGATACTGATGTTGGTGAGAGCCTCGGCACAGCGAGGCATGCAGAGCTGCATTCTGGGAAAGGGAACAGAACAGGCATGAATCATAGGGGCATCAGGGAACAGCTCGACGGCCGGCGTGCTCCACTTCCGCGCATAGCGGGGCGAGAAGATAAGTCTCTTAACAGCTGCTCAGGTTTGGACGGGACAGGCATCATGGGTACAAACTGGCTTATTGGACTGAGCTCTGGCAACACGTCTGATGACTTTGTGGGGCAGCGGATAGCTTGTTAACACACACTCCGTTTCCACAACAGTAACTGATGCTCCAAGCCACTAAAAGCAGCAGCCTCATTAAAGTCACATCTATATGAATGTTGATAGATGTCAGTGCTGATTTATTACGGACAGGCCAAGAGGTTGAAATGGACCGCAGCCAGAACGAGCTCAGCATTGATATTTTCATTCATTGTAAACTCATCAAAAGGATCAACTCTGCAGTGCCGTGCAAGTTGCATTTCTCAAATCTTTGCATCATTTAAACCACAAATCTCTGGAGGGTTTTTATTAAGGATTATGCTTGAAGTTGAATAGAAATTATAAAAAAAATTTAAAGTTTCTTTTTACATAAAAATCTGAAAAGTGAGGCATTCAGCTTCCCTGATTGAAGTCTTTCGACAGCCACCTCTGACCATCTTCTCTGTCCATGCTGAAGCAAATGACCTCCCATATTTCACAACAGGGATGTTGTGTTCATGGTGATATTGGAATATTGGGTTTCTGTCACAGAGAATTTTGTGCAAATGCTTGAAAGCAGGATTTGGTTCTCATGCGAACAACATCTGAAGTAAATAACTTCCAGCAGCTTTTTCCCTACAATGTATTTGTTCTCCATGAAGCCCAGATTCGAGGCGTAGAAAATAGTTGTCCTGTCAACAGAGTTGTTGTTGTTGATCTCTGCAGCTCTTCAACATTTACCTTATATCCATCTCTGATTCATGCTCTCCTTGCCTGGCCTCTCAGGTCTGGTGGATGACCATTTCTTCATAGGTTTGCAGGTGGGGCATACTCTTTCCCTTTCCAAACAAAGTCTTCATTATCCTGTTTAGTCATCTCTGTTCTCTTTAAAAAACCTTTGAGGCCTTCACACAACAGCTGCGCCCAAACTAAGATTAAATTGCATAAAGATGGCTCCCACTTGCAAATTAAGTGACTCTTGAAGGCAACTGCAATTTATTAAAGGAATGACTGAACGTAAAGGATGGTGAATCCAAATGAGACCCACACTTTTTGTCAAAGAAAAAAAATAAAATTAATACCATGCATCATTTTCCATCGCATCACACGTTTTATGCGCAACTTGATTTTGGTCACATGAATTCCAACGAAACACATATAAGCATGTGGTTTTTAACATGATAAACAGAAAAACAAACAAGTATGACTCATCATAAAGCACAGCTCA